TCCCTCCACGAGCAGAGAAACAGGGCCAGCAGAGAGCAGAGAGGGATGAGACCCCTGAGGTGGAGGGGAGCTCCAGTGAGGAGCCAGGCCTGGACCAAGGCAGCCCCCTAGTGGGGAGCAGCTGGCAAAGGCCCCGAGGCAGGGAGAGAGGCAGGGCCCGCCAATCTCCTGACCTTCCGGGAGTGACACAGTGACCCCAAGCCTGGTGGGCTGAGCCGTCCCCTCCCAACTCCCCGCACTGGCGCTCCCAGCTCCCACGCCTCAGACAGTGCAGCCACATCGCTGGGGCGGGATCCCATAGGACCCCTGGCCTCGTAAGCAGAGACTGACACCGACGCACACACACGGGCGGTGATCGCCGGAGGACACAGTGACCAGGGACCCTCTGCGAGCCAGGGAGAGAGGCCGCGGAAGGCACGCAGTCTGTTGGCAGCCGGCCTCCAGCATTGCGAGAGTGCTTTTCTGCTGTCCACCTAACACTGGATTCTCCTAGGGGCGGGGAGAGTTCTGGCTTCTGGGGTAGCGTATCGGCTGTCATCCGGGAGATGCGGGAGTCTTTGTGGGCTTCAGCACAAGTACGCTCATTTCTGGTACGGACGTCAGGCCCCGCCAGGCCAGCAACACAGCACAGCCGGCTTCGAGCTGGGAGAGAGGACCGGGCTTCCATGTCCGGCTGCACCTTCGCTCTGCAGCGATCCAAAGCAAAGCACGTGTTCTAGAAATGCAGCTCGTGTCACTAAAAAAAATCCTTAAGGCAGGAAAATGCTGCTTTTTAAATTACGGATTCACTGTTTCGTGACCCTGTGGTTTTGTTTTTTTGTGTTTTTCCCCCAAAATCATTTAGTGCATTCAGCCCGTCGCCTTTTTTCTCCCTTAGTCGAGCAGTTGGATGTCGGGCACGCAGAGGGCCCCGGATCCCACCTGCCAGCGGCTTGTCAGTCACTCGGAAGGCACAGGAGCACGCCCCGAGTGGCCACCGCGGCCGGCGCTGACGCGTGCACACTTCTGGAGGCCAGGAGCCCTGAGTCACGGTGCCGGCCAGGTTGGTTCCTCCTGGGGCCCCTCCCGGCAGCTCCCGGGGGAGGCGGTGGCACTTGGTAGCCTGTGGCTTGGTCTCCTTCCTGCCCGTGGCCTTCCCCTCCCTCCCCTTCTCTCTCCGCAGTGCACACATCACGGCGCCCCTGGTGAGAGCCCCCAGATGCTGGCATCGCACCGGCCTTCCTTCTGCGAAGACGTCCTGTGGCCCGGGCAGGCGCAGCGGTGAGGGCCTCTTTCCAGTCCACGCAGAACCAGCGCCTTGTCCTCGGTCTGCAACTTGACTCTAAATCAGAAGGTGCTTAGTGCCAACCATCGGAGAAGCCTGCAGCTGGGAGTTCTCATCACCGCCGCCCGTCGGTCCTGCTGGGCCAGGCACACGAGGGGACGCCAGCAGGACACACGGGCAGCTCACGTTTCCTGTCCTGGATCTGACGTTAAGAAAACGCAGCAAGACCCATTTTCATTCACCAAGCGGAAGAGAGATCCTCAGTGAGAGCCAAGGAGCCACCGGGCTGCACCCCACGGAGCATAGCGGTCTCTCCCCAAGTCCTCCGCGTTAGGGGGCAGACGGCTGTGTGAGCCGTGCAGCGCTGGGAGGGCTCAGTCCGCATGGCCGCGTGCTGTCCCGTCTCCTCACCCCTGTGCCCCCCCCCCACTTGGTCCAACAGAGGCACAGCTCTGCCTCCAGACGGTCCTCTCCACTCCTCGCCTTCCTCCTCCAGGCAAACTCTGCATTTTAAATTTTTTTCTTTTTCCCCAAAGCAAATCTCTCTCTGTCTGTCTCTGTCTCTAGGAACCGAGGTGAGACTCACATAACATGACCGTCCCCATTCTAACGTGGCGCTTGGCGCATCCTGGCTCTGTCTAGTTCCCCAGAAGGGAACCCGCACCCACATTCAGGCCTCCCCGTGTTCTCCCCCAGCCCCTTGCTACCTGTCCCCAAGATTTGGGTCATAAGAAGAAGGGGGGAACCCCAGCAAAATGTATAAGCGTCACAGGCCAAGCACGAAGTTTGGTCTACTTAGAGTCTAGGAGCAAGCTTTCTCTGTGAATTCTGGCGAGTCGACTTTGCTCCGCGGGCAGGGCCCTCCCCGTGACCGCGGCTGTGGGTACCTCCGGATTTTGCCCAGCGACTGGCGGAATCTATTTCTACAGCACAGAGCCCGCTGCTGCCCGCGCTGGCCAGGTGGTGCCGGGCGCAGCCCACAGCCGCGGCCGGCGCGGGTGCTGGGGAGCGCAGGACGCGTGGACCCCTGCTCGCCGCGTGAAACGCCTTTTCAGCCCGGCCGGAGGTGGCTTTTGCAAAAAAGCGAGACGAGGGTCTAAGCGGACGCGGTGACCGAAGGTGCTCCTCGACCCAGGAGGCAGCCGGGTTACCCGCTCGTCCTCTGCACGGCGCCCAGATATCAGCAGAGCACGGAGGGGGCGGCGGGGGGGGGGGGTGATGCGGGCCACGTCCTCGCCCGTGCAAGTCCTTCCAGGACCCGAAAAACCGAGCGCGCGCTTCGCAGGCCGCGGCGGGGACGCCGGCTCTGGTTTCCACTAAGGCGGAGTGGTTTTTAATGTAACGACCACGCGGATCATTTTTCTGACAATCAAAACGCACAGGAAAGACAAAGGACGGGGGTGGAGGCCACACTGGGGTCCCGCAGGGGACAGACGGGAGCAGCGGCTGCCCCCCCCCACTTGCCCAGAGGACCCGCCCAGCGCGGACTCAGGAGGCGACAGGCGACCGCCGGCGGCCGCGCACCGCCCCGCCCCGCGGTCGCTGGGACGCCAGCCGCGAGCGCGTGTACGCTCCGCCCGTGTTGCTGCTGGTGTCGATATCACAGCGTGCGCTCCGCGAACTGCCCACTCCGGCCTACGGGTACGTGGCTCCCGCGCCCCGGAGCTCCTGCGGCGTTCCTTCCGCTTTTCAAAATGCAGCGGGAAAAAACATAGCATCGCCTCCCCGTCGGGGAATCGAACCCCGGTCTCCCGCGTGACAGGCGGGGATACTCACCACTATACTAACGAGGACAGGCCGCGATGGTGGCGCTCCGGATCTGATCCTATAGAAACGGCGCTCGCGGGCCGCCCGCACACCCACCCAGGCCGCGGCGGCGGCGGGTGCCCTTGGCCTGGGCCCGCGGTACCGCAGAAGTCGCTGGCGCTGGCCGCTGACCGCTGGCCGCTGGTCGTGCTCCGCAGCCCGGCGAGCCCAGCGGTCTCTCTCCCTATCAGCACTTCGGGAAGCGATTACCGCCGGCAGGGGATGTAGCTCAGTGGTAGAGCGCATGCTTTGCATGTATGAGGCCCCGGGTTCAATCCCCGGCATCTCCACTTTTACTCGCTTGCCCTGCCAGTTGCGCACCACCCTGGAGGACAGTCCAGGATGTCCGTAGAGGGCAGCAGGCCCCTCTGTCGCCCAACCTAGGGTCCCTGCGGGGCTGAGACGCGGGGCCCCGGCCTCGCGCACGCGGGACCTCCACGCTCGTCCTGCAGATGGCGCTCGCGCCTGCGGGACGGAGGCGACCGGCGGTGCGAAGGCTGGAGGAGCGCAGGCAGTGGGCGAGAGTTTGTCCGAAGGCCCTGGAAGGCTGGGCGGGGCTACAGGGCTCCTTCCGGCCACCACGTGGAAGCCACCCCCAGGGCCAGGTGCGAGCTGGTGCAGGCTCGGTCTGGCGGCTGCCGTGCAGGTGGGGGCGTGCGGCTCTGCCCTGTGGGTTCTGGAGGTCGTCGCCTGACACCCCCAATCCAGGGCGCCGCGTTTTGCCCTAGCGATCCTGTCACCTCCCTGCCTTGGGGCGGTGACTATGGGGCAAGGTCGCGCCCAAACCGGGCCAGGTCCACGTCTGCCCTCAAGGGGCTGCTTGTTTGCCAGGTTCTGTGCTGGACTCACCCAGGACCCACACCCCTGCTCTCGCCAGCAGCGGGGTGGGGGTCCTTCCTGACGTCGGCACCCACGGCTGAGCAGGGCACTCAAGGTGGTGAGATGGCTTCGCAGCAGGTGGGCGGGAGCAAGGCCCAGAGCCCGGGACAGGGAGCAGCGCTGGGGCTGCTTGGGGCGGGGTGTGAGCGGCCCCGGAGGCGCGGCATCTGCCCACCGCCAGTCTGCGGCCGTGTAGATCTGTCTGACTTATTTGAAAGCCAGAGTAAGGGGGAGAGAATCTTCATCTGCTAGCTCGCTCCCCAAATGGCTGTGGTCAGCAGCCCTGGGAGGGAGCTACCAGGACTCTCACCCCCGTTTCACAGAGAGGAAGCTGAGGCAGAGATGGGCCCAGCGTGGGTCACAGGCTGGGAAGGGTCAGGCAGGGCCTGGAGCCGAGGGCCTGACTCAGGACAGCGCTCACTTCTCCAGCGGCTCTCCATGCCCTCCCCCCCCCCCCCCCCAACATTTATTTGAAAGAGTTAGAGAGACTGACAGAGCGAGCCATCATCCATCCACTGGTTCACTCCCCCATGGCCAGGGCTGAGCCAGGCTGAAGTCAGGAGCCTCCTCTGGGTCTCCCACGTGGGTGCAGGGGCCCAGGTTCTTAGACCATCCTCCACGGCTTTCCCAGGCGCATTAGGGAGCTGGAAGTGGAGAAGCTAGGTCTTGAGCTGGTGCTCTGATACGGGGTGCAGGCCTGGCAAGCGGCAGCCTAACCCGCTGCGCCACAGCGCCAGCCCTGCCGCGCTGCCTTTGACCACGCTGCCTCATTGGAGGGGAGTCCTCACCAAGGCAGTGCCAGTCTCCGTGGACAAATGACCACCTTTCAGCTGTGGGCTCCTCAGGCCTCCTGAGCCAGCAGGCCCAGCTCGCAGGGCTCGTGCCTGGGTGCACACAGGTGTGAGCGGCACGCACAGCAAGGTCAGAAAGCACCCGCCACGGGTCTGCTCTGGAACCACGGCGCTCGGTGATGAGGGAGGCAGGGACTCAGGCACCTACACCTTTTTTTTTTTTAAGACTTATTTATTTGAAAGTCAGAGTTACATAGAGAAAGAAGGAGAGGGAGGGAGGGAGGGAGGGAGAGAGAGAAAGGTCCATCCGCTGGTTCACTCCCCAAATGGCCACAACACCCAAAACTGCGCCTACCCAAAGCCAGAAGCCTCATCTGGGTCTCCCACACGGGTGCAGGGGCCCCAGGACTTGGACCATCTTCTACTGCTTTCCCAGGCCACAGCAGAGAGCTGGATCAGAAGTGGAGCAGCCAGGACTTGAACTGGCGCCCATATGCCGGTACTGCAGGCGGTGTGGCCTTACCCATTACGCCACAGTGTTGGCCCCACACCTGCGCCCTTTATCTGAGTCCTGCGCTGATTTGGGGACATCAGAAAGGACCAGACACAGACGAGAGGGTTCCCCTGGGGACACGTGTATGAGGCATACATTAGTCTAGAAATTGAGCCATGCCTCTGCGGTCAACCAGTCTGTGACATGGGTGCCGACCCCCTTCACAAGGCCTGGGACTAAGCGTGTGGGCAACCCGCCTCACGCCACACACCAACACACACTCAACACGGACTGCAGATAGCAACGCTCAAACTCGAGGGGGACGACGCAGTGACACTGGCCTGGGTGAGGCTTTCTTAGCTACGACACCCAAAACACAAGCAGCCAGACCCGCCAGTGGGACATCAAGGCCACAAACACCGTCCCCCAAAGGACGCTATCGGGAAGGTGGAGCCGACCTGGGGGAGAGACCTGCAGAGTATACGTGACACAGGCTTGTTCTCAGGATGCTCACAGCTCGCTCCTGTGGCCAAAGGGTGGACACGACTCACGTCCACCAACACGTGGACACAGAACACGGTGGCCGGTACAGCGGGCTGTGGCTGAGCCGTGGGAGGGAATGAGGCCCTGACACCTGCTGTGGCAGGGAGAACCTTCCCGGCGTGAAGCTGAGTCCAGCCAGACATGGGCCACGGAGCACAGGAGTGGCTTCATGGATGGGGGTGCCACGAGGGCTGGTGGACAGGCAGCTTAGTGGCCGCTGGGGCTGAGCACGGCTCTAGGACTGGGTGGTAAAGCCAGTGGAGTGCCACGCCACGGGCAGTACGGCAAAACCTTAGAGCTCCGGCTGAGGAGGTGGGACCAGATGGCAAAGGAAGCAGGGTGACTGTGCAGCCACCACAGCGCCCGAGACGGCGGCTGGGGGAATGGCGCCCTCTTCCCATCTGAGCGGCCAGGACTCGTGCTGTGTGGTTCTCTGGAGAACCTCCCCTAGCTGGTAGCAGGGGATTATTGCTCCCATCACGGGCAGGTCGGGCTCTGCAGGCTGCCCATGCATGCGCAACCCAGGGGCAGCCTGGGTGGGGCCGAGCCCCAGGCCGCAAGACGGAATTTGCGAAGGGCTTTAAAAAAAAGATTTACGTATTTATTTGAAAGGCAGAGCAACAGAGAGGGAGAGACAGACACACACTCTGACACAGAGACCCTCTACCTCAGTCCACTCCCTCACGTGGCCATGCCAGCCAGGACTGGCCAGACTGCAGTGAGGGGCCAAGAACACCATCTGGGTCTCCCACGTGGGTGGCAGGGCCCAAGCAGTTGAGCCATCACCGGCCACCTCCCCAGGGTCATCAGCAGGAAGCTGGGTGCAGAGTGAGCAGGCACAGGGATATGGGGCGGGGGCGTTGCTGGCCCCTGCCCAGGGCTTTGAGAGCCTGGCAGGTGAAAAGCCCCCACCCCCAGGGGGTTCAGGAGGGGGCTGGGCAGACAACTCAGGCCAGGCCCCCGAGTCTCTCCCTGAGTCACTGCACAGCACAGCCTGAGTGGCAGGAGCGCTTTTATTCAACAACCACTCCTACCACAGCCCACAACCAGGACGCCTGGGACAGAAGCCACCCAGACCAGAGCATGGCTCTGGGCAGAGTTCCTGACCCCTTGGTCCCGAGGGGTCTTCCCACTCCTCCTCTCCTGAGGACCTCCTCTGTCCCCTCCCTCCCACCTCCACCCTAGAAAAAAAGAGGGGGGGTCTTTTTTCTCTTGGCCCATTCCAGGCCAAGAGAACACGTGTGTCCCCAGTCAGTGTGGTGTGGCAGAGGAGACGAGAGATGGCCAAGGTCAGCTCCTTGCCATCTGAGCCGATCACCAGGGGCACACGACCCTGGCCACATAGCCACACACAGGGAAGGGCCCGTCTTCCCTGTGGCTGGGCCCGTCTTCTGGGTGGCCCTGGGCCCCCTTCCTGTAGGGAGGGGCTCCACAGTGCCGGGGAAGGGCCTGCAGACACCCCGGGCCATGTTCCCCAAGGGTGAGCGTGGTGCAGAGCGTCTTCACCACAGGGTCCACCTGTGACCTGAAGTCCTCACCCACCATGAGACAGTCTCCCCGCAGCACCCGACACACAGCCAGGGCCAGTGTCCAGGCCCACGGGCTCGTCCAGAATCCACATGGGATGGACGAGGCTCGCCCAGGGCCTTGGTGAGCAGGGGGTGGTCAGGTGACCATGCCAGGTGGTTCCAGTGGCAGCGCACTGCACTCCCTGTCCCCAGTCCTCGGCAGAGGCAGGCGTCGGCTCAGGGGTCAGAGGCCGGGGGCCAGCCCTTCTCGACGTCGGCGTGCATGGCTTGCGGGAGCCACTCGCAGTACTGGGTCAGCAGGTCTGCAGGCCGAGAGGCTGTCAGGGCCCCGCCCCCTCGCAGGGCCCCGCCCCGCCCCCTCCCACTGAGCCCGGGGCACTCACACTTGGGGCTTCTCTTCCACGCGGCCAGCAGGGCGTCGCGGCAGTCGGCCTTCTCGGCCACGAGGGCGCTCAGCAGACTCTGTGTCCTGGGCTGCAGCCTGTTGGGCAGTGCAGGTCACTCGTGTGCTCTGGACTGCAGGATGGGTGGGGCCCGAGAGTGGGGGCACTGCCACTGGGTAGCCCTGCCCGAGAGGGTGAAGGGCAGCCCAGCCATCCGGGATAGAAGGATCCAGAGCCGCCCCTCCCACCACTCTCATTTTCCCTGCCTCTGGCCCAGCCACCCTGGCTCCCTCACGTCTCGCTCACCCCCTCTGGCCCTGCTCCCTCCCAATCCGCTCAGCCAGGCCCTCCCTGACACCCAGCCACCAGGACTCCTTCCCCCTGCCGGACCCCTGGGGGCTGCGTCACCTCTGCCCCCTGCAGGCTTCAGGGACAAACGCGTGCCTGGGTCCCTGCACCGAGTGTATCTTGGAGACGGGTGCTGGGAGTCCCCGGCCTGTCACAGCCTCGCAGGGACCTCAGCCCCCGTCCTGAGCTCCGGGAAGAGCACAGCTGGGTGCTGGCGCCCACCCGCCCGCCCCTCAGGCGGTTCCTAGGCCCCCAAGCCCTGGCACCACCTCCAGCAGCAGCACAAAAGTGTAGCTGAGGAAGAAGCGGTGGGAGTGGAGGTTGGGTGCAACGAGGGGCATCATCCAGCTAGCAGCTCCGTGGGGGGGACTCAGATCCCACCCACAAACCCATGTCCACCCAGAACCTCAGAAGTGACCTCCCGGGCACAGGGCCCCAAGCCCAGTGACAGGTGTCCTTAAAGGGCAGGATGCACAGAGCCCCAGCAGACACTGTAGCCAGGCAGCTGCAGGTGGGCAGCCGAAGCCAGCAGCCACGGGAGGCCAGGGAGCCTTGGCAGGAGGACGTCCCCCAGTGTGTGGGCTCCGTCCTGGGGGCCCCAGAGAAGGCACATGGGCTCCCACCACTGCCGGACGGCCGGGCTCGATGCTCGGGGGAAGGCTGTACCTGGCCCACGTCTTCAGCATTGTGCTGGGGCTGGACAGCAAACAGCTCCGGTACGCCGCCAGCTTGCGGAAGACCTGTGAGAGACCGCACAAGGGCTGGGGGCCCGGCCCTCCTGCCCACGGCACCTGAGGAAGGGGCGGGGAGGCCCGGCTGCCTACCTGCCCTTCCAGCAGAAACCGCGCAAAGTGCTTGTAGCGGTCGACGCCCTCCGGAAAGTCCACCTGCACAGCGGGGAGCGGCCAGCCCACGCGATCTGCAGGGTGGGCGCTGGTGAGGAGGGGCCCTGCGAGCCCAGGCCCAAGCCCTGGACCCGGCCCCCAGCGGGACAGGAGGTGCCTCGACTCACAGAACACGCTGGCACGGTGACACAGCACCCGGCCTTTCTCAGGGCAGTAGGCGGGGGCCGGCTCCTCCAGGGGCTTGTCAAACTGGCAGTAGGAGGGCAGCAGGACCGGGATCCACTGGACATCCACAGTGGAGACACCTGGGACCAGGAGAGGGCCGGATCCTGCTGGCCGCTGTTCGTCCCCCTGCCCCCCCCCCCCATCAGGGCCACCAGCCGGCACCTTTCATGTACATCTTGGTGGTCTCCATGATTTCCTGGTAGACCACGAACTCGGGGAGCTCTCGGAAGAGGACGGAGCTGGGGTGGATGAAGACGGGCTCGTCCAGGAGAGGGGTCTGCACACGAGGAGGGAGGGCACGTCAGGGAGAGCGGCACGCGCCAGGGGGCCCGTGCTTTTAACCCACAACACCCACAATGGCAGGAGCGAGTGCCCTAGCTACGGACAGCTAGGTCGGCTGAGAGGGAGACGGACGCCCAGGCACAGCTACGACGCCACCCAGTGGCAAATGTGATGCGGCAAGCAGGCGGGGCCCAGGCTCCTGCCGCAGGGCCCACTGAGAAGGAGTTAGGGGGAGGGGGTGGCGGGCTGCTGAAGGGTCCAGGGGTCCTGTCTTTTCTTTCTTAAAAAAACTTTATTTATTCACATATTTATATTTTTTTGAAAGGCAGAGTGGTAGCAACAGAAAGAGAGATTTTCCATCTGCTGGTTCATTCCCCAAATGCCCCCAAGAGCCAAGGCCGGGCCAGGCCAAAGCCAGGAGCCCCATCCAGGTCTCCCCCATGGACACAGTGATGAAATATTCTATGGGGCAGCCGTTTGGCAGAGCGGTTCAGACCTGCCGGAGGGGCCGGTGCTGTGGGGCAAGTGGGTAAAGCTGCCGCCTGCAATGCCAGCGTCCCACATGTGTACAGTTCTCGACCCGGCTGCTCCATTTCTGATCCCGCTCCCGGCTGATGTGCCTGGGAAGCAGCAGAAAATGGCCCAAGTCTTTGGGTCCCTGCACCCATGTAAGGGACCTGGAGGAAGTTCCTGGCTCCTGGTTTCCGATTGGCCCAGCTCTGGCCATTGCGGTCATTTGGGGCAGGAACCACTGGATGGTCTCTCTGCAGCTCTGCCTTTCAAATAAATAAATAAATCTTAAAATAAAAAAAAAAAATAAACAGAGTTTGCTGGGAGGCCTGAAGCTCCTATCGGAGTGCCTGGGCTCAAGTCCTGGGCTCTCCTTTATTTATTTTTTTAAAGATTTATTTATTTGAAAGGCAGAGAGAGAGAGAGAGAGAGAGAGAGAGGTCTTCCGTCTGTTGGTTCACTCCCCAGATGACAGCAATGGCCGGAGCTGCGCCAATCTGAAGCCAAGAGCTGGAAGCTCCTTCCGGGTCTCCCACACAGGTGCAGGGGCCCAAGGACTTGGGCCATCTTCTACTGCTTTCCCCGGCCATAGCAGAGAGCCGGATTGGAAGTGGAGCAGCCGGGACTCGAACTGGTGCCCACATGGATGCTGGCGCTGCAGGTGGCAGCTTTACCGCTTCACCACAGCACCGGGCCCGGCTCTGCTTTTGATTCTAGCTTCCTGCTATAGAGCACCCTGCGAAACAGCAGGCGATGGCTCACAGGCGAGCCCCTGCCATGCAGGGGGGAGACTCTGACTGCCACTTCGGCCAGGCATCTGGGGAACGAGCCAGCAGGCGGCAGACCTCACTCCTTCTCTGCCTCTTGGAGAAATAAAATGGACTGAAAACAGAAAGCTGGGGGGCAGCGCCTGGTCCTGCAAAGGCAGACTGCACTGTCTGTGGCCTTCCCAGGACGGGGGGGACCTGGGACGCAGGCACACGGCGGGGAGACGGGCGCCCACCTTGTAGCCATTCCTCCACTTGTCGTCCAGGAGATCCTCGCTGTGCACCCTGCGGGCCAGGTGGTCGCCCAGGCCGGCCGTCACGATCTGCCGCAGGTAGGTCACCTGGCTCTCGGTGGGAGGCTGCATCTTCGGATCCACGAAGAGCTCGGCCTCGGGGCACACGGCGTTGACTGGAGGGGGCGCCGGGTGTGAGGGCAGTGGGGGCAGCGCGGGCCAGCTGGCTCTGCTGGATGTCAGCTCCGGAGGGCCCCACGTGCGGAGCTGGCTGCCTGGCACCTGCCGGCCTGCTCCCCGCATCGAGCCCCTCAGCTGCCCCCCCCCCCAGGTCAAGCCCCAGCTCCAGTGAGGACGGCAGCGGTGCGCTGGCAGGCAGCCTGGACTGGACCCTGGGCGTGCTCCTCAGGGAAGCAGCGCCCTCGGCCCAGGCCCCCTCCTCCTCCCTGGAGAAGCACCGGAGGTGACGGCGGCTGCACCTGCACCCGCACCCGCACCACCTGGAGCCGATGCTGAGGAGTGGGGCTGGGGAGGCAGCCCCAGGGATGCACCTGGCAGTGGGGAGAGCAAAAGCGCTCAAAACTGAGCCTGCCCCCGACTAGCCCCAGGGTGGGCACAGTGGCCTGCCTGGGAGAGCACGTCCTGTGTTCTCTCTGCGCGTCTCCCCTGAGGCCCCCAGCTGCTGTGCCCAGGCACTGAGTCCAGGTGGGAACTCATCCTGCCCGAGAAGGGGCTGTGAGGCCCGGGGCACGGCCGAGGAAGAGACGGGCCTGAGACAGCTGCTGGGAGCAAGGGAACGTCCTCAGGGCACCACAAGGGCACCCCACGCACAGCCTGCAGGTGGAGCTCTACCTGCAGTGGTCAGCTGGCCCCGCAGGCGCCGGATCTCCAGCATGGCCTTGTACCGCAGCCCGTTGGCTTCACAGAACCGGGGCGAGCAGCCGGCGTACTCGCAGGCTCCTACAGCGCCTGCAGGAGGAACCAGGCGTGCTCACTCCCGGCCCACTCCAGGCCCGACGCCCCGCCTTCTCCGGGTCCCTGGCAGCCGGTACCCACCCAGCAGCACCATGAGGTCACCAAGCTTCAGGGACGCCCCCTGCCCTGCCCACGTCCTCCTCATCTGGGCCACCCGGGCCCGCTTGTCTTTCAGCACAGCGAGTTCCTCATCGCTGGCAGCTGGCCTGCAAAACACACACACGCGTGTGCTGCCTGGGCAGGAACGTGTCTGCTACGTGTCAGGGAGCCTGGGGGTCACTGCCAGCAGGTGTCAAGATGGAGACCGTGCGTGGCCTCTTGGGCGATTCCACGCCCTGAGATGGAGAGAGAATTCCACAGAAGAGAACGGCACACATTCCAACACTGTTCATGGAAACCCCAACCGCGGGACAGCCCGAGTGTGAATCCGCGGATAACTACAGCAGCGGTCCGCAGACCTGGAATCCACAGCCTCTGGCGCTTACCCGCATGTTAGGCGTGGCCCAGAGAGGCTGCTTGTGTCAGTGGATTCAGTTCTAACCACCCAGCTGTTACCGTTACCATGCCCACATCCTTCAGACGCAGAACACGAAGCCGAGAGAAGCTGCGGTCCCTGGCAGCCGCGTCTCCCCGCCACGGGCCCACCGCACCTGTCCAGCTCCTCGAACAGCTCCCGCACAGTCATGGCGGCCACGATGGTGATGGTGTAGGGCAGGCAGTCGTGCTGCCGGCTCAGGGCCAGCATCTTGGCGTAGCGGGGTGCCACGGGGAAGGTGGCCATGGTCCTGCCCAGCGCCGTGATGGGGCAGCTCAGCCGTGAGCTCTGCAGCTGCTTCACCCTGGGAGGAGGACAGCGCTGCGCTGGGAGGGGCTCCCCGAGGGTCGGAGCCAGAGCCACGAGGCGCGGCCGCGAGCCAGCGCAGGCCCAGGGGAGGGAAAGGCGGGAAGAGGGGAGCTGGGCCCTCCACTCGCCTCCACCCAGCCTCACGTACCTTTCTGCCTTCGGGGGGGCCTGCAGGGCCCCCAGCGCGATCAGCAGCTCCTCGGCAGCAGCCAGGGCCTCCACAGAGGGGGGCGTCGGGAAGGGGAAGTTGATGACCTGGACGGGGACACGTGGCAGGGACAGTGAATGCTGGGAGCGGGCACGGAGACAGCCCCTGCTGGCCAGGGCCAGGGTGCTGCCCCCACAGGACCCCCTCCCCAGGCTCAGCGCCCTGCTGCCCATCCTCTGAGCACTGCTCACAGCAGCTGGGGCGGGGACACTCAGAAAGGTGCCAAGGGCACCCTCCAAGTGCACGGGCAAGCCTGAGTACAGAGCCTCTCTCATCCCCCTCGCCGTCCAGCTACGCAAAGGCGGTGCTGGGCACAGCCTGTGTGCCGCCGGCTGTTCATGGCAATGGAGACAGCACGCACAGACAAGGCTTCTTGTCTCTGCCTGCGCACCACACTCATTGGAGCAGGAGGCCCCCAGGCAGCAGGGGGCCATGACAGGCATGACAGGAACAGTGGGGCAGGAGAGGGTGCACTCAGCAACACAGCGAGAGGACAGAGCGCCCGGCTCTCAGATGGCGGCACCTCAGAGAGATGGACCAACTGAGCAGGGGTGTTCAAGGAGACAGCCGTCCACGCGTGCTCCCAGCAGCCCACAGTGGAAACCCCAGTGTCTGGGGACTGAGGACACATGGGCAGCAGAGGGGGGCTTCCCACACGGAGGGGCATGACGCTTACGCCTGCTATGGCACGGATGAACCAGAGAGAAGCTAGTCACAAAGGCCCCATGGTATACATGGGCTGCACGGGTCTGGGAACTAATACTCCCGGAATGTCCACCTTGGAGGGTCAACTGTGGCCATTTGGATCATGTCTCAACACAGCTGTTTTGGAGGAAGAGTGAGTAGGAGTGGAACCTAACAGGAAGGATTCAGCTGCATGAAGACACGTGGGGCAGGGAAGTGCATGCTGGGAAATGAGGCCTGGGAGGAAGGTGCAGCGGCCCAACGGGGACTTGGGTTTGACTCAAGAGCAAAGGGAGGGGCTGATGCTGTGGTGTCGCGGGTGAAGCCATGGCCTGCAACCCTAGTATCCCATAAGGCCCTGGTTCAAATCCTGGCTGCTCCACTTCCAATACAGCTCCCTGCTAATGTGCCTGGCAAAGCAGCAGAAGGTGGCCCAAGTCCTTGGGTCCCTGCACCCACATGGGAGACCTGGAAAAAGCTGCCGGCTACTGGCTCTAGCCTGTCCCAGTCCTGGCTGTGGCAGCCATTTGGGGAGTGAACCAGTAGATGGAGGATCTCTTCTCTCTCCCTGTAACTCTGCCTTCCAAATAAATGTTAAAAAGAAAGAGAAAAAAATGAGCAAGGGGAGTGGCAGAGGCCGCTGGAGAAGTGAGCGCTGTCCTGAGTCAGGCCCTCGGCTCCAGGCCCTGCCTGACCCTTCCCAGCCTGTGACCCATGCTGGGCCCATCTCTGCCTCAGCTTCCTCTCTGTGAAACGGGGGTGAGAGTCCTGGTAGCTCCCTCCCAGGGCTGCTGACCACAGCCTGAGGTCACACAGGCGAGGTGTCAGCACTTCTCGGCACCCAATATACTGTGGCTATTTTCATTTGCTCAAAAAACAAATTTAAGCCCCAAAAGGAATATAAAACATCCCATGTTAGAAAGCAAGCCACAGGGGCCAGTGCTGTGGCTCAGAGGGTTAACACCCTGGCCTGAAGCGCCGGCATCCCATATGGGTACTGGTTCTAGTCCCGGCTGCTCCTCTTCTGATCCAGCTCTCTGCTATGGCCTGAGAAAGCAGTAGAGGATGGCCCAAGTCCTTAGGCTCCTGCACCCACGTGGCAGACCCGGAAAGAGCTCCTGGCTCCTGGTTTTGGATCGGCTCAGTTCTAGCCATTGCGGCCATCTGGAGAGTGAATCAGCAGATGGAAGACCTCTCTCTCTGTCTCTACCTCTCTCTGTAACTCTTTCAAAAAAATTAAATAAATCTTAAAAAAAAAAAAAAAAAAAGCAAGCCACCGAGATTCGCTGTACTGTAAGTGCTGGTCTCTGCTGTGGCCAGGGAGTGCGGTGGAGGATGGCCCAAGTGCTTGGGCCCTGCACCCCATGGGAGACCAGGAGAAGCACCTGGCTCCTGCCATCAGATCAGCGCAGTGCGCCGGCCGCAGCGCGCCGGCCACGGCGGCCATTGGAGAGTGAACCAATGGCAAAGGAAGACCTTTCTCTATATCTCTCTCTCTCACTGTCCACTCTGTCAAAAAACAAAACAAAACAAAACAAAACAAAACAAAAAAAACAAACTGTAAGTGCTGGAATTTGGGCCCCGCGGGCCAAGCTGCCGCCTGTGATGCTGGCATCCCACAGCTGTGCCAGCCAGAGTCTGAGACCTGGATGGAGTGCCAGGCTCCTGGCTTCAGTCTGGCTGTTGGGGCCACTGGAGCCATTTGGGGAGTGAATCAGAGGATGCAAGCTCTAACTGATTTTCAAAAAATAATTAAATCTTTCAACAAAAACAAAGTCTGGAGAACAGAACCAGTAACAAAAGCCCCAGCTGGTGGATGAGGGCAGCCTCTGCTCTCCCCGGCACTCAGCTCCTGAATGCTCAGGTTCACGCCAGCAACGGCAACGAGGACACATCTTTAACAGCAACAGAAGCCACCGGCTTCCACCCCTACCCGCCGTGTGTCCCCGGCTCTGGCTTCTGCCCCTACCCGCCGTGTGTCCCCGGCACTGGCTTCTGCCCCACACCTGCTGTGTGTCCCCAGCACTGGCTTCCACCCCTACCCGCCGTGTGTCCCCGGCTCTGGCTTCTGCCCCCCACCTGCTGTGTGTCCCCGGCACTGGCTTCTGCCCCCCACCCGCTGTGTGTCCCCGGCACTGGCTTCCACCCCCACCCGCTGTGTGTCCCCGGCTCTGGCTTCTGCCCCTACCTGCCGTGTGTCCCCTGCACTGGCTTCTGCCCCACACCTGCTGTGTGTCCCCGGCACTGGCTTCTGCCCCACACCCGCTGTGTGTCCCCGGCTCTGGCTTCTGCCCCTACCTGCCGTGTGTCCCCTGCACTGGCTTCTGCCCCGCACCCGCTGTGTGTCCCCGGCTCTGGCTTCCGCCCCCCACCCGCTGTGTGTCCCCGGCTCTGGCTTCCGCCCCTACCTGCTGTGTGTCCCCGGCTCTGGCTTCTGCCCCCACCCGCTGTGTGTCCCCGGCTCTGGCTTCTGCCCCCACCCGCTGTGTGTCCCCGGCTCTGGCTTCCACCCCCACCCGCTGTGTGTCCCCGGCACTGGCTTCCACCCCCACCTGCTGTGTGTCCCCTGCACTGGCTTCTGCCCCCACCCGCTGTGTGTCCCCGGCTCTGGCTTCCACCCCCACCCGCTGTGTGTCCCCGGCACTGGCTTCCACCCCCACCTGCTGTGTGTCCCCGGCACTGGCTTCTGCCCCCCACCCGCTGTGTGTCCCCAGCTCTGGCTTCTGCCCCCCACCCGCTGTGTGTCCCCGGCTCTGGCTTCCACCCCTACCTGCTGTGTGTCCCCGGCACTGGCTTCTGCCCCCACCCGCTGTGTGTCCCCGGCACTGGCTTCCGCCCCGCACCCGCTGTGTGTCCCTGTCCAGGGACCTTCACCTCCCTGCTCAGCTTCCTTAGCTGCTAGGTGGGGGCTGCCCACAAGCAGGGCGGGGAGGCCGACTGCGCTGACTTGCAGGGCACCTGACACCTGGCCGCGTGGTGGGGGCACTCTGCCTGGACCCCCCCATCCTGGGGATGGGTGAGGATCCCACCCTCCACCTACAGGACTGGGGAAGAGCCTGGGGACAGCCCACCGAGGTCACTGCTCTGTCCCCAGGGAGCCCAAAGGGGATGCGGCATGGGAGGGGGCAGTCACAGGAGACCCCTGCCAGGCACCTGCTGACACAGGGCAGCAGCCGCGAGTGGGGCCTGACTCACCTTCTCAATGCTCAGCGCCTTCATCTGCAGGACCAGGTCTTCCACGGGCCTCCGGGTGATTTCTGGAGGAGGAAACTGCTCGAAGTCACCAAAAACTGCAGACGAATACAGCCTGGGCAGGGAGAGGCAGCACAGGGAGAGCCAGCTCAGCCAGGCCAGCCGCCAGCCAGCCCTGCCCAGCCATGGGCCAGGCCAGGCAAGCACCTCGTCCTGCCTCACCTTCCTCACCTGTGCAATGGGACAACAGTGGCCTCCCTGGGAGCAGACACCACACACGGACTGCTCACGACAGGGCTGGCCGCAGGGACTGCGCTGGGCCAACTTGAACTACACTTGCTTCTGACCCATTTCCTTCCTTCCTTCCTTCCTTCCTCCCTCCCTCCCTCCCTCCCTCCAAAGGTCTTCCTTTTTGCCGTTGGTTCACCCTCCAGTGGCCGCCGTGGCCAGCGCGCTGCGGCCGGCACACCGCCCTGATCCGAAGCCAGGAGCCAGGTACTTATCCTGGTCTCCCATGGGGTGCAGGGCCCAAGCACTTGGGCCATCCTCCACTGCACTCCCTGGCCATAGCAGAGAGCTGGCCTGGAAGAGGGGCAACTGGGACAGAATCCGGCACCCTGACTGGGACTAGAACCCGGTGTGCCGGCGCCGCAGGCGGAGGATTAGCCTAGTGAGCCACGGCGCCGGCCTCTGACCCATTTTCTTGATATATTTTCTAAACTTTTAGCTTTTTTCATTTAAAACAAGGTCAGAAAGAAGAGCAAGAGAGCTATCAAAAACAATAGCACACAAACTTGGAAAACTTACTCACCAAGGACACATCTGACAAGGCTGATGCCCAGATCACAGACAGTTCTCACACACCCACGACAGAAAGACAAACAGCTGAGGCTGCATGTTGTGCAGGAGAGGAGCCAGCTGTGCTGGTTAGAGACCTACCTGCTCCGCTTCCTGCTGAGGCAGCCTGAGAGTCAGCAGCCAGGAAGTGCCCGGGTCCCCCACACCCACGCGGGAGACCAGGATGCAGATCCAGGCTCACGGCCTGGCCCGGGCGAGCCTTGGCTACGGCAGCCATTTGGGGAGTGACCCATCAGATGGAAGGTCTTTCTCTCCTTCTCATGTAACTCTTTCAAATACATGAATCTTTTTTTTTTTTTTTTTTTCAAAAAAGACTAGGGGCCGAGTTCAGCAGTGGAACAAGGGACAAATGTGAGCACCTGAAAGCTGGCTGCCACGCCCCAGGGCCACGTGGCCCCTGTAGATGGAGGAGGGATAGCGCCTCTCCTCACCCTCAGTGGTGGCTGCACAGGAACCCGGAGGCCCACCTGTAGCAGTGGCCAGGCTCTGTCCGGCCCGCCCGGCCTGCCCGCTGGTCGGCCGACGCCTGGGAGATCCAGGTGACGCGGAAGGAGGACACGCCCGTGACACGGTCATAGTAGCGCTTCTTGACCTTGCCACAGTCCACCACGTACTTGATGCCGGGGATGGTGAGGGACGTCTCGGCCACGTTGGTGGCCACCACACACAGCCGAGTGCCCTCTGGGGGTGGCCTGAAGACCTAGCGTTGAGGGGTGGGGGTGGGTGGCCAAGTCCATCCCTCCTGGGCCCCAGTGTCCTCTCAGAACCCCAGGCACTGCCCAACTTCAGCACTGGCTCGCCCCCGCCCCCACGCCCGGAGCACCGTTACCTGCGCCTGCTTCTCTGGGGCCAGCAGCGAGTAGAGCGGGAGCACGTGGAGGGGGAGGGAGGCGTCCAGCTGCTCGCCTGCAGGGAGCAGAGGCTGCCGACAGCCCTGGACGGGACAGACCGCCCCGCACCCTCCACCAGCCCTACTGCCAGGGGCTCAGCCGTGAGATGGGCGAGGCAGGCAGGCAAAGCCTGGGGACCGGGGACAGACTCCCGAGGGTTCTCCCGTCACAGCTGCCACTGGGATTCCCTTCTCCCAGGCTGGTCCCATTGAAGTTGGGGTCAGCCTGTGGGGTGCCCCCCACAGCCCTAGGCTGCACACAGTTCATATACGGCCAGGCACCCCCCAGCACCCCTGAGGCCTGTGTCCACACAACAGAGTGGGCCTGGGCGTGGTGCCCCCATGACACTCAACACCACAGGAATTGAAGCCCCCCACGCACCAGGCAGTCTTAGGAGCTCAGGGTGCAGCGTGGACAAAGCAGCTAGCAAGGCCAGCTCTCCCGCAGCTCACACGAGGACCCGAGGGTGGGATCTGGGTTCTTTGTAGCTGCCTCCCAGCGGGGGCTCCACACACTTGCAGACGAAGGACCTGAGTGAGGTTGAGAGTGGGACGCACCTCCGTCCGCCTCGTCATCCCCCAAGTCCAGATCGAGGTCGGAGCCCAGGGCCGCCTCCTCGTCGTCCATCTCTGCCTCCCGGTCCTCGTCGCCCTCGCCCGCCGGCAACACCGAGTAGTTATCCAGGTTGATCGGGGGCAGTGTCTACACTCAACGAGACACAAAGAGCATGGGCTGCGGGCGCCCCGCTGCGGATGGCGTCGTGCACAGCACAAGCAAGCCCACGCACCCTGTGGGCCCCGGGACCCTCGGGCGGCCACTAAACATATCTGTTTCCTCACCCGAGAACTGGGGTTCACCTCCTGGGGCTGCTCTCAACACTGAAGTGCAACAGGTGAGAGCAAGAGGGGAGTCCACGCCGCCACCTGGGGGAGCCCTCCCAGCAGCCTCTGCTCCCACTCCCCAGCAGGGGATCGGCACAGGCCCTGCTCGGGGTGCCCGGGGCCCAGCAGCTCCGCGTGGTGCACCCAGGAGACAGGATTTCCCATTTCACTCCAATCCAGGGTGGGCTGGCGGCCACCAAGCTGGACACTGCGGCCCTGCAGCCCGAGCCCCCAGCACACCCCAGCCTACCGAGCCGGCACGAGCCTTTCTCGCCCTGGCCCGCGACTTCTTGAACTTCCGCATTTCTTCCGCCGAGTCTTTCTCGTCTTCCTTTTCTGCAAATGAGGGGAGGTGGGGAGAGACACCTGTGGCCAGGGCAGGGCAGAGCGCTTTGCTCCTTGTCACCCAGCAAAGCCACTGCCCGCGACCACTTAATTCAGGGGTGCGGAAGAGGCCGCCGACTCCAGAGGGAGAGGCGGGGCAGCCGGCTGAGCCCCAGACGGGGGCAGTGGGGGACTGAGCATGCGCACCCTGGTTACCTTTGGCCTGGGGCCTGGAGGGTGGGAAGGCCTTCCTGAGCCTGCGGCACAGAGCGTGCACCTCGGCCTGCCCCGTCAGGAACACCAGGATGCCACCTGTGGGAAGAGCCAGGCTCCGGTGTTACCCATCAGTCACTCAGCAAACACTTCCTTAGCAACCAGCACTGAGACACAGGGCCCCAGGGAGCCAGACGGCACAGTCATGGGCGGACGAGTCACCCCCAGATGGAGGTGCCGTGAGACCCCACGGTGCCACTCCTGAGCACGGGTCCACGAGGACTGGCCAGAGGTCTCACGGGAGCCTGCGCACGTGTTCAGACCCCAGGCTGCGGGGAGGCTCCTCGCTGCGAGCACCTGGTGCAGCCCAGAGTCTCCAGACAGCGGCCGTGCACCCAGGAGGCCCTGCACCGAGACAACTTAGCAGGACAGGCACAGCGAGCGGGGACACGGGGTCTCACGTGTGCTGGAAGCACCCTGCCACTCTCAGCCTTGCAGCAGGGGCAAAGCAGCCTGGAGCCCAGCTTTGGAAGACCAGAGTCTCTGGTGAGAAGTGACCACAGCTACCACAGCTGCTGGGTTTTGGGGCTGTGTGTGCGCTAAGTGGCGCCGGCGCCCAGGACCATGGTTTCCTTTGGATGTCAATCCACTCTATCCTCCCAGCCAAGGGCAAGCCGGTTTGGTGACACCAGCTAAGTAAGGGGACACAGCCCTCCCCCTGGACCGTGCGTGGGCACCTGCCTGCGCCCAGGTGTTCTGCCATCAGGGCGGACGCAAACCCAGCCCTCAGCTGCCTGCTCCAGTCCACACTGGAGGCTCGCACTATTCTGGGCAGAAAGAGGCCGGGCAGGTGCTGCGAACACTCCAGAACCAGGGAAGAAACAGGCACGGCAAGGATGGGAGTGTCACCAACCCCTCAGGGAGGGGCCGGGAGCCTGGGCCTCAGCCCCCGCCAGGCCCACCTGCAGGCAACATCCGGTGGATCTTGCACACCTTCCGGAAGCACTCGCCACTGTAGTCTTCCAGTGGGGTCCTCTTGTTAAAATGCACCGTCACCGGGAACTGCCGGGACTCCACCTGCAGGGGCAAGAGAAGACGTGGGGGGTGCTGCAGCCAGGAGTACCCCCCTCTCCCCGATCTTGCTGCTTGTGTTTGAAACTGTGTTTATTTGACGGGCAGAGTTAGAGAGGGAGGGAGAGACAGAGATCTCCATCCGCTAGTTCACTCCCCAAATGGCCACAATGGCTGGGCTGGCCCAGGCTGAAGCCCGGAGGCAGGAACTCCATCCTGGTGTCCCATGTGGGTGGTGTCCATGGCTGCCTTCCCAGGCGCACCAACAGGGAGCTGGATCCCTGACCTGGGCCACAGCCTACAAACGCACACCTCTCCGCGTGACAAAGTGAGGTCCACCAGGAGCCTCCTCCCCCTGGTGAGGCTCAGAGGCCCCAGGAATTACCTTGATGACGGGGGGCGGCTGGGCGAAGAGCCGCTGGTTCTGGGTGAAGTCCTCTACCCGCAGCGTGGCCGACATGATGAGCAGCCTCAGCGGCAGGTGCCTCTGTGGGGGACAGGCCTGGCGACTCAGGTGCGGGCAGGCCTGCAGCCGCAGAAACCTGCTGTGCCCTCCCCCACTGTTCCCCAGCCCCCTCTGGTTCCCAAGGACCCCTGGTGGATGGGAACACACAGTGGACCCTGCCTCTCCCAGGGCAGCAGCGCGCCCCAGCGTCAGGCTCTGCTGGTGGGCACAGCCACTGACAGCTCCCACCGGACGCCGTCACTGTGTGTGTGTCTGAGGTTCAGGGAGGAGATGCGTGTGGCCGGGGGCCCTGGCTGTCACCCCAGACAGCCCCTGACACAGCCCAGGGGGGCTCTGCTCCTGAGCCCTTGCTGTCTTCAGCTGCTAGTGAGCCCCGGAGCCAGAGCCTGAGGCAGAGGCACAGCAGTCAGCATGTTTGCGGCCTCAGAGCCAAGCGCACGCAGAATTCGGGCCTGCAGACAGCAGACGAGAGGCGCTGTGGGGCGAGAATGTGGGCTGCAGCTGAGGGTCCTGGCTTCCTCCTGGGGTGATGAGTGATGAAATGCTCTGAAACTAACTGGCCAGGGCTGCACAGCTGAGGGTCCCAGAGACCACGGAGTCACACCCTGGAAACGGCTGTTACATGGGATGTGAGCGCTTTCTTGGAAAAGCTTGTCACAGAAATAAACCACACACTCAGGGCCTTTGTGCCGCTGCCCTCTGCTCCAGGGGTGGGCAGCCCTTTTCCTGCCGGGGCCATCTGGATCCTGACATCGTCTGCGGGCCACACAGAATGAAGCACCTGGAGCCAGCCTGCTACACAGCTACTGAATTTTGAGTCTCGTCTGCGGGTGCCTCGGCAGGGCCTGACCCGGCCTGCGGGCTGGACACACACGTGCGCTTTCCCACACCTCTGCCATCCACCAAAGGCCACCTTTGCTTTGAGGTCCCCCCGTGCCAGTCAGCTGACTCCCTGCCGCCCAGGCTGCAGCGGGAGCCCTGGGAGGATGGGCACCAGGAGAACAAGACAAGGTCTTTGTCGCTGTTGGTTCCTAGGGCCTTGAACGTGGCGAGGGACGAGGAACCGCAGGGCATGGGCCTTTCTCCAAGGAGCTGACCCTTGGGAGGGTGGGGACACCTCCACTGTCCACTTCTGCCTGATGTCGGCAGGGCAGGAAATGGGGGTAGGTCACGGCTGGTCCTGGGGAGCCCATCTCAGGGCCCAGGGAGCCCCACTCGCTCTGCAGAGTCAAAGACCAGGAGGCCTTGTGAGGCCAGCTCCAGTGGGGGCCGGTGAGCCCTGGCTCCTGGCTGGGGCCTCTTGCTCTGGACAGGGGCAGACTGGTGCGGAGGCTGGATCCAGGCCCTTGTGGGAAGGGGTAGGGCGCGGGGATGAGTCACCCTATGAGACCTGCTTACAGCAGTAGTGCAGGGCAGACACAGGTGTGGGCAAGGGGGCCCAGCTCCTGACAGCACAGTGGGGTCCTCAGCCCTGGGGTTCGACCACCCCCCCCGCCCCGCCTCCTGTGCTACCTTTGCCCGCAGGGACACGATGCGGGACAGCAGGCCGATGAGGATGTCGGTGTACACGCTCCTCTCGTGGGCCTCGTCGATGATCACCACCTTGTACTTCAGCAGCAGGAAGTCCTGGGCAGGGAGGCCGGGAGGTGAGGCCTGGGCCGCCACAGGAAGCCCCGGGCAGGGAGGCCGGGAGGTGAGGCCTGGGCCGCCACAGGAAGCCCCGGGTAGGGAGGCCAGAGGGTGAGGCCTGGGCCGCCACAGGAAGTCCCGGGCAGGGAGGCCGGGAGGGGAGGCCTGGGCCGCCACAGGAAGTCCCGGGCAGGGAGGCCGAGGGGTGAGGCCTGGGCCGCCACAGGAAGTCCCGGGCAGGGAGGCCGAGGGGTGAGGCCTGGGCCGCCACAGGAAGCCCCGGGCAGGGAGGCCGGGAGGTGAGGCCTGGGCCGCCACAGGAAGTCCCGGGCAGGGAGGCCGGGAGGGGAGGCCTGGGCCGCCACAGCTGCTTTGTACCCCAGAGCTCCATTCCAGGAGCCATGCAATAGCTTCTCCCACCTCCCCAGGCCTCGGTTTCCTTATCTGGGAGATGAGGACAAAGGCTCACACCCTGAGGTCTTGGGGAGGTCTCAATGTCAATTAAAACCGAGACAGAGCCAAAGCTGGCAGAGAACAGACAAGCACGAGGCAGCCGCTGGTCCCCCGGGCTGACCTACCAGACACAGAGGCCAACAGGAAAGGGAGGGGAGGAGCTGGGGGACGTGAGCAGCCCCAGGAGCAGACAGCGGCTCCCCACCTGGGCTCTGCCAGCCACCCTGCCAGTCTCACACCCTCGGAACACAGGCTTCCAGGGCTGGGGCGGAAGGCAAAGCTCTCTCCTCGGCACCAGGCTGGGCACTGTGCCCGGGACCCAGAGCCGCCTGCTCGCAGCTGCAACCAGACCAGGAAGGCCCGAGAGGACACGGTCAGGGTCCAGTAGGCTCCCCCCTTCTTCACCAGCAGGGGCAGGCCGGCTGCACACACCAGGGTCAGTGGCATCCTCGTGCCTACCCCGGGCTCACGGGCCTTGCTGTGTGAGACAGAACAGGCAGCCCACCTTCTGGATTTCCTTGAGCAACACCCCGTCCGTCATGAACTTGATCCTCGTCTCTTCGGTCACGTTCCCTTCGTACCGGATCTGGTAGGAGATGACCCTGAGGGGAACAGGGCAGGCTCCGGCTCAGGGAGGTGATGCCCACGCATGCCGCTGCCTGGGGATGCTCCAAGGGGTCAAGAGGAGGGCAGCACCCACCAGCTACCCAGAACCAACCTCAGCCCTTGCCCCAACCTGTTCTGCCTCTCCAAAACCCGCGTTTGGCAAGAAGGAACCCATAGGAGGTCCCTGGGTCCCATCATCTGGACACTCCCTGGGAGCAAGCTTGTGGGGACACCGGGATGTGGGGGCTCAGGACTCAGTTCCCAGTTCCCACGGGCACCATGTTGGGGCTGGTGTCATGGCACAGAGGGTTAAGCTGCCACCTGCAACACTGGCATCCTACATGATCAAGTCTCAGCTGCTCCATTTTTTAAAAAAATATTTTATTTATTTGAAAGAGTTACAGAGAGAGGGAGAGGCAGAGAGAGAGGTTCTCCATCTGCTGGTTCACTCCCCAAATAGCCGCAATGGCCAGGCTAGTCCAGGCCAAAGTCAGGAGCCGGAGCTCCTTCCAGGTCTCCCATGTGCGTGCAGGAGCCCAAGCACTTGGACCATCTTCCACTGGTTTCCTAGGCTCATTGGCAGGAAGCTGGAACAGAAGTGGAGCAGCCAGGATCGGCACCCATATGGGATGCTGGCACCGCAGGTAATAGTGTTACCCGGTTTGCTACAATGCTGGTCCCAGCTGATCCAGCTCCCTGCAAATGCACCTGGGAAGACAGTGGAAGAAGGCCCAAGTTTGTGGGCCTCTGCCACCCACCATGGGAGACCCGGATGGAGTTCCAGGGTACTGGCTTTGGCCTGGCCCAGCCTTGGTCACTGTGGCCACTTGGGGAGTGAACTAGTGGATGGAAGATCTCTCTCTCTCTCTCTATCTTTCTCTCTATCTCCTCTCTCTGCAACTCTGCCTTTAAAATAAATAAATAAATCTTAAAAAAAAAAAAAGAGGAGGGGGGAGGCACGTCTCAAAGTCTCTTTTTGCAGCCTACACAGTGAAATCTCTAAGGCAGAATAAGACACCCAACGCCTGCTTCTCACACAAGAGAGATGCAGGTGGAACAAGGCTGGCCCTGAGCTTAGCTTCTGGAACTGGGGTCTTGGCAGCATGGGCCCCATTCAACTTTTGCATATGCCTGAAACTTTTACAATAAACTTAAAAATTTTACAATAGGGAGGGCACTGTGGTGCAGTGGGTTAAGCCACCACTGGGGACACCCATGCACCAGGGACTCAGCCCCATCCGTCCTAGCCAGCCTCCTAACAGGCACCTGGGGGCAGCAGGGGACAGTTTGAGTGCCTGGGCCTCTGCTACACACGTGAGAGACCCAGGCTGAGCTCCTGGCTGCTGGCTTTGGCCTGGCCCAGCCTGACTGCTGTGGGCACCTGGAGGAGTGAGCCACTGGATGAGATCTCTCTCTGATGTTCTGCTTTTCAAATAAATAAAAATTTCCTTACTGTTTCTTCAAAAAAACCTGTTTCTATAGCAGAAGTTGAAATGGGTTGTCGCTCCCCGTCTTCGTGGAGGAACGACACAGGACCCTGCGCTGTTCTTTCGTCTGCTCGGCCCTCCCCGGGTTTGCTGCTGGTTCTTCCCGGGTTGGCTACTATCCCTTCCACCTCCGTGGAAGGGCAGTTCCCCCTGGCCGCATTCCCCACTTCCGCAGGGGAGCGGCACACCGCCGGCCGGCTCTCTTCGGGGGCTGCACAGGTGTTCCTTCAGCTAGATGTTCCCCTTAGATGTTCCTGGTGCATGCCGTCTCTCTCCTCCTTTATAGTCCTCCTCCGCCAATCCTAACTCGGCTGCCCACACGCCGAGTACGCTGCTCTCCTCCAATCAGGAGCAAGTCCTACAGTTTATTAGTTGAACTGGAGGCAGCTGTGCGGAAGCTGTTTACTTCTCTCCCAGCGCCATATTGTGGGAGAGCAGATGCATAGAATAAGTCTTAATTCCAGTAACTCAGTCCAGTCCGGATTGCTCCCCACAATGGGTAAGATATAGAGTGGTATGTACGGGATGCCACCATTAACGTACAGGTGAGTGACACCACAGACAGAATCCTCTAGAAGAATCCGCAGGAACCGGGCAGTGGCTGCCTCCCAGGGCTGAGGGCACCCAGCACACAACAGCAGCAGCCTGCCCCACAGTGGACGGCAGGCCCTGAGAGCCCAGCATGGGCCTGCACACAGTAGGCGCTGCTTAGTGAGCACCACTGCATGCTCTTGTGGCTCCTGAACCATGGCCCACACTGGGCGAGGGACCTCGACCACCGGAGCCCGGGCGCCTGCGCTGTGAGCGCGTCTCCTGCAGCTGTGAACCCTGCTTGCTCCGCTCGCTGCTCCCACAGCCATGTCCCACGCTCACCGCAGGGCGCAGCCCGCACTCCGGAACCCGAGCGCTCACCACTGCTGGCCCCATCTCAGGTGCATGTCTGTGCCACCTGCCCCTGGGTGTGTGACTGCGGCGGCCTGGCTGGTCCCCCATCCATCACACACACGCCCTCTGAGAGACGACTATGGCGACAGCTCCCACTCCTCTCCCCACATGGACAAGGGCCCACAACCCTGTGCTCAGCCCAGCCGGGCCAGCCCTCTCTGGGCAGGGCCATGGTACCAGCCCCCAACGCATCCCCCAGGAAGCAGGGCCTCACCGCTGCGACAGATTCATCTCCTTGGCCACTCTCTGGGACATGGCCATGGCAGCCACTCGGCGGGGCTCGGTGACGCCGATGATGCCGTCATCGCTGGGGAAAGAGAACACAATGCATCAGCAGTGACTGCTCCACTAAGACTCACGCCTGGCCTCACCCGGCCACGGTCGCACTGCTCAGCGCAGGCGGCAGCCCACGAACCAGGTAGGCAGCCATGCGGCAGCGGCCACGGGAGCGAGGCCGGTCTTGGTGTACGGCTGGGAAGCATTTCCAGGGCAAGTCATTAGGAGCAAAGCCAGGGGCACAGGACGCAGTGTCGGGGCTGGGCCTGTGTCCTGAACAGAAGGCTGGTGCTGGAGCAATCCAAGAGTACCAGTGCTGGCGCCTCGGCGTGACAGGCGCTCCACATGGCGCGTGCACGAGGGGAAAGGGGCAGCGCACCGCGACTTTCTGTATTATCTGCCGCTTTTCTGCCAATCCAAAATCACTCCCCAATAAAAAGCTGGAGGCAGGCATTGGTACAGTGGTTCAGATGCCTCTGGGGGTTCGGCATTGTGGCATAGCAGGTAAAGCTGCCAAAGCTGCCACCTGAGACGCCAGCATCCGTGAGCCTGGTTCAAGTCCTGGCTGCTCCACTTCCAATCCAGCTCCCTGCTGACGCACCCGAGAAGAATGGCTCAGGTGCTTGGGAGATGCAGATGGATTCCCAAGCTCCTGGCTTCAGCCCAGCCCAGCCCCAGCCATTGCGGCCATTCGGGGAGTGAACCAGAGGATGGAAGATCTCTGTCTGTCTGTCTGTCTCTCTCTCTCTATATATATATATAACTCCGCCTTTGCAATGAATCATTTTAGAAAAAGACAAGATGCTTTGGGGACATCCGTGATCCACACCAGAGCCCTGGGCCTGGGGCCTGGCTCTGGTTCACTTCGCAGTAGGCAGCAGCTAACGGCTCAGCTACTTGGGCCCTGCCAGGCACTCGTTTGAGTTCCTGGCTCCTGCCTTTGGCCTGGCCCAGCCCCAGCTGTTGTGGACATCTGAGGAGTGAACCAGTGGACGGAGATCTCTCGCTTTTCTCTCTTCCCGTGTCTTTCAAGTAAATTTAAAAGATTTAAACAAAAAGTTTAGCAGAAAAAAGTTAGCTAGAGGACAGCATTATTTTTGGATAAGAGAAAGAAGAAGAATCTACTTGCACAGACTATCTCTGAAGGACATGTAAGAAATGGATTAGCTGCGTGCTGGCGGGAGGGCAGTGCCCTCCCAGAACTGGGGCTGTGGCCTTTCACATGGAACCGTGTCAGTGTTGAATCAGAAAAATGGATGAGCCTTAACCATAAACCTGACCGCCGCTGCCTTTGCCTCTCTGGCGCAGCCTTGCCTGTGTGCCGTCCTAGTCACTGTCGGCCCCGCATCGCCTGCCTCCTGAGGCTGATGCCACGGCCCCGCTTTATACATGAGGACAGTCCAGGAGGGGTGACCAGAGCCTCCCCACCAGGGTCACCACATGGCAGGTTCTGTGGTACTGAGTCTGGCTCCCAGTGGACACTCCCAGGGCCAGGACCTCTGACATCTAGAACAGAGCTTGGCACAGACGGCCCGGGGACACCAGGCAGCTGCTGGAGGGAAGAGGCCTGGCTGGGGCAGTGTGGGCTGTGGGTGTGGGGCCTGCCCTATGGAGCACGGCTCCTCCAGACCCAAGGACTGGCCAAGGGGGCGGCTCGCGGTGCCTGGACTGCAGGGGCAGACGGGTGGCTTCCTCCTGGGTGGAGGGATCTGGTTACTGCCAGGCAGAGTGGGCCGGAGTCTCCAGTGAGTTTCCCCAGCAGGTGCCCATCACACATCGTCACACCTGTCTGTGGGGTCTGGTCTCCCTTGTGCCCTGCCCCACACTCCCACACCCTTTGTTGATTGTGCCTGTCTGTTGACCAATCAAAAAGCCACGGTGTGACCCCAGGCTGTCTGGACCTGGCGAGACACGCGTGGCTCCAAAGGGGGACGCTAATGCAGACGGCACTCGCGGTGCCAGGGCTGTTCGCGGCAGTGTCTTCTGCAGGTCCCCTCTCATCCTGACAGCCTGTGACGCCGGTGCTTGTGTCACCCCAGCTCCAGACGAGGACACTGTGGCTCGGAGAGTAACTCGCCTGAGTCACACAGCAGGAAACAGCAGGGCCAGGATCAGAGCCCCAGCGGTCCAGGCACTCAACGACTTTTGGGGACTGCACTCCACAGTGGCCGAGAGACTGCAGGGAGCCCTGCACCCAGCCCCTACCTGCTGTAGCCTGCTTCGTACAGGAACTGGGGCACCTGTGTCGTCTTCCCACTGCCGGTCTCGCCGCACACAATGACGATGGGGTGCTCGGCCACCGCCTCCATGATCACTTGCTCTTCAGAGAGAATAGGGAGCTTGAGCCGCTCCTCCTGGGGACAGAGAGGGGCCATCGTGGAGGGCACGGAGGGCGGGCCAGAGGTGGGGCCGTCATGGAGGGCACGGAGGGCGGGCCAGAGGTGGGGCCGTCGTGGAAGGCACAGAGGGCAGGCCATAGGTGGGGCCGCACTCACACCCAGCAGCACCACATGGGGCACTGTGGCCTCCGTGGAGGGGCGGCTGGGCCATGTGTGGTGACAGCTGGGAGAGGGACAAGGAGCCACACGTGGCCCAGGGAGGCAGAGACAGGGACTGCGCCTGTGGGCCTCACGTCCTTGCACAGCCCGGCTGGGGCACACCTGACCAAAGTCAAGGACAGGTGACCTGGCAGCTCCTCCCTGGGTGCTTCCTCTAGATCCTCACGGGGTCCCGCACAAGCACGTGCACATCCCCCTAGATCCAGAGGAACTGTCTGGAAACACTTCTCACCCCGTGTGCACACACCAGCACAACAACACTTCCCGACAGAGGAGGGGAAGACTGGTGGGCGGGTGGCCCAGTGCCAGCTGTGAGCTGCAGCCTGCAAGCACTCAAAAGGTTCAACTCCTGCCTGCTGCACTTCCAGTTCAGCTTCCTGCTAAGGCACCTGGGAAGGACTGGGCCCCTGCACCCACGTGCAAACCAGGGTGGAGTCCCCGGCTCCTGGCTGTGACCTGGCCCAGGCCCGGCCGTGGAGGCCATTTGGGCAGTGAAGCAGTGGATGGAAGACCTCTCTCTGCCTCTCACCTCCCTCTCTGTAACTCTGACTTTCAAATAAATAAATAAATAAAAGAAACTTAAAACAAACAAACAAAAAAGAATATTCAGAAGAGCATCAAAGGCAACACCAAAGGCCGAACAACTCAAGCGGCCACAAGAGAAAATACTCAACTCAGATTCCACACCAGGGAGCTCGACGGTGGCAGGCGGAAATGGGCCCCAAGACTCACACAACCGGGGAGCCTGCCAACACAACCACGCTGAGCAACACCAGCGCCAACCGCAGCGTCAAGGCCACCGCGAGACCGTGTATAGGGACAGGCAGACACAGGCAGCACCCGGCTTCCGACCAGGCTTATTATGGGACAAGAGAAGCAGGTGCAGAAGCCCCAGGGGACAGCGGAACACCAGATGGGGAGACACCAAACCACCTGGGCTCCATCACCTGGCAGCAACCTGCGGGGTGAAGCCACTGCCACTTCGGGGTCACGCGTCAGGCTGTCATCTGAGCTGCTGAGTATTTTATAAGCACACAAACGCACACAGAACTGGAATTACAATCCCATGACCAATACCTGTTCTTATTTGGAACAACGCCCTGATATTTTCTATCCTTTTACACTAAAAGAAAAGCAAGCTAGTCACATCCCACCTAACTGTCCACCACCCACTTCACAGCTTGAAACTCCTGGGGACCCAGCGGCCCTCGAGCCTCAGGGCCTTTGCCCATGCAGTTCCTAGCGACGGCTGGCCCCGCGGCTGCCTGGCTGCTGCGAGGTGGGCAGCTCTCACCTTTCCTGCTGGACTGTCAGCTCTGCAGGGAGCGGATCACTCCCCCGCCTGTGCCCAGTCAGGAGTGACCTGCAGCACACGCACAGCGGAGACAGTAGATGGACATGAACAACCACTGCCTGGGGTGGGCCAGGCCTCGGGCTGGGACCTCCCAGTCGTGCCCAACATCACTGGGGACACATGGACTCTGCCTCTGGGGTTTGAGTCCTGCAGGGGCGCGGCCTTCACACCCACCAAGCCCTCCCAGATGAAGGCAGTGAGGCCCAAGAAGTGACCTGGAGAGCGGCAGGACTGGCTCTGGGTTTGGGGCCATTTGATCCCACAGCCCCCCCTCTGATCCGGATCAGTGAGCAGCTGTGCCAGGCAGAGGGGGCAACAGTGCTGGTGGGAAAGCCAGCCACCAGGGCAGGCGGCCCTGGCAGTGTGCGTGTGGGGCCTGCCGAAGCTCAGCAGGCTTGTCCGGCCCCACCCCGTCCCGGGCAGGCGCAGTGAGACACTACTGCCCAGCGGAAGGACGCGGCCTGCTGCACTTCACGCCCTCACCCTCGCCCTCACCCCTCCATTGTTAATCCCAAACGCTGCGGTGGCAAACCTGCATCTCAGGGGAGCGGTGCACGGGGACGAACACAGCGGGCTTCGCCGGCGGCCTGGGCAGCGCTGCAGCTGCAGGAGCAGGGGTCCCGGACGCAGTGGGCTGGCAGGGGGGTGCCAGGCTCTGGTCCTCGGGCCCTGGCAAAGCTGGTGTCAGAGGCACTGCCACTGTCTCTGCACCAGGCAGCTCAGAGGCCGGGGCCTCGTCAGGCTCAGACTCCGCTGAGGACGCCGAGGACTCAGATCCCTCCTCTGCGGACGGCTCGCGACGGCGCTTCCGGTGGGCCCCACCGAGGCTGCTGATCTTCTGACCCTGGGCTGCTGCCTCGTCGGACTTCCTGCTGGGACGGCAAAGATGTCACCTGTGCAGGCCTCAGGACACCCAGGACAGCTCCGGGCTGCCAGACCCTCCCCTGAGGTCAGGACTCACAGGGCACGCCCCTTCCTACCTCAGGGCCTTTGCACTCACTGCTCACACCCCCCAAGCACCCATCCTGCAGACAACCTCTTCCCCACTCAGCTCTGCTTGAAGGCGCCTGTGGGGACGCTGTTCCTGATGGCACAGCCTGGAACACCGCCCCCTTCCCATGCTGGATACAAGCAGAGTCTTCACAAAGGTCATGCATTTCAAAAATTTCTGTACCCAAATAAAATTTTTTTGACAGAGAGCTTCCATCTGCTGGTTCACTCCCCACATGCCTGTAGTGGCTCCAGACGGACCTCAGCCAGGAGCTGGGAGCTCCATCCAGGTCTCCCTCATGGGTGGCAGGGACCCAGCGACTTGAACCACCACTTGCTGCCTCCCAGGGCGCGCATCAGCAGGAAGTTAAACAAGGCACGTGGAGCTGGGACTCACACCCAGGTGCTCTATGGGACGTGGGTGTCAACGGCTGAGGCAAAGGTGTGCCCTTAAAATGGTTATCTTTTAATTCGATTTTCTACACACTTTGAAATCACCCCATACCCGTGAGTTCACTGCCTGCGACCCCATGGTGACTGTAAGCTCCATAGGGGAGGCACTGTCCTTGGGTACTCTGTCCTCAGGGCCTAGGGGACAGCCTGTGACAGTTTGTCCTTGGTAAACAGCTGCTAACTGGACAAGACAGGATGGCCAGGACTAATACCAATCAACAGAGCAGAGGTGGGCATCACGGCCCAGTAGGTTAAGCAGCTGCTTACAACGCTGGCATCCCGCCCTGGAGAGCTAGTTCGAGTCCCAGATGCTCAGTTTCCAATCAGCTTCTTGCTGATGCGCCTGGAAAAGCAGCAGGCGGTGGCCCAAGTGCCTGGGGCCTGCTACCCACGTGGGAGACACAGATGGAGTCCCAGGCGCCTGGCCCAGCCCTGCTGCAGCCATCCGCAGAGTGAACCAGGGGATGGAGGATCTCCCATCTCAGATCAACCCTGCTCCCTCCGCTTCTCCCTCTCAAGTCAGTCAATCCATCTTGGAAAAAGAGAGGAGGCCAAGGGTGAGTGAGAGGGGCAGGAGGGGCACCCAGACTCATCTAAGGGTTCGCTGCCCACAGAAGTGGAGCGTCGGAACTGTCCAGCTGACCAAGACCAGGAGGTGGGGGACCGGTGTTGTGGCATAGCACGTTAAGTCACCGCCACGATGTGGGCATCCCATATTAGAGTGCCAAGTGGCGTCCCGGCTGCTCCACTGTGATACCACTCCCTGCTGATGCGTGGGCCCATTTCCCATGTGGGCGACACGGATGGAGCCGCAGGCATCTGGCTTCAGCCTGGCCCAGCCCCGGCTGCTGTGGCCATTCAAGGAATTAACCAGCGATGGAAGACCTCTCTGCCTCTCCCTGTCACCCTGTCTTTCAAATACATCTCTCTTTTTTATTTATTTATTTATTTGAAAGGCAGAGTTACACAGAGAGAGGAGAGGCAGAGAGAGAGGTCTTTCATCTGCTGGTTCACTCCCCAATTGGCTGCAACGGCCAGAGCTGCGCCGATCCGAAACCAGGAGCCAGGAGCTTCCTCTGGGTCTCCCATGCAGGTGCAGGGGCCCAAGGACCTGGGCCATCTTCCACTGCTTTCTCAGGCCACAGCAGAGAGCTGGATCGGAAGTGGAGCAGCCGGGTCTCAAACAGGCGCCCACATGGGAAGCCAGCGCCTCAGACCAGGGTGTTTACCCGCTGCACCACAGATGACCAGAGATGGAACTAGATTTTATGTAAAATCTCCAAATTGTTAAGTGCTGGCTGTACTGGTTGAACAGTGTCTCCCAAAATTCATGGCCACCCAAAGCCACACAGGGTGACTGTGTTGGGAACAGGACACTCCGCTGACCTGTGAGCCACAGGACAGGAGCAGCGGCCACGGTGCCTCTCAATAGAGCAGGCGCTCAGTGCTGAGACCACCTCACAAGCTGGCCCTCCCCTGCCCCCACCCAAAGGGGCAGCGGCAGCTCACTCTCTGCGGAGGTACACGCCCTCCCGCCCTCCCCCTCCCCAGCAGTGACCGCTCACTCTCTGCGCAGGTACACGCCCCCGCCCTCGGCCCACCGCTCACTCTCTGCGGAGGTACACGCCCCCCGCCCTCCCCCTCCCCGGTAGTGACCCCTCACTCTCTGCGGAGGTACACATCCCCCGCCCTCCCCCTCCCCGGCAGTGACCGCTCACTCTCTGCGCAGGTACATGCGCTCCCCGGTGCCCAGCTTGGACGTGGTGTAGAACAGCTTCATCTCGGCCTCCGACGCCTGGACCGTGCTCAGCTTCTGCAGCAGCTCCGCTCGCTGGGAAGGGAAACATGCGTGTCTGACACCTGGCCTCGCGACGCTCCGGGCGACTCTAAACAGAATCTCAGCACGTGCACCCCTGCACTCTCCCCGCCGCGGCTTCACGGTGCTCCTGGGTCAGCCGGGCAGCGGAGGCAGCTCCCTCTGGCACCGACTGCCCACACGCCCACCAGCAGGACACCGCGTGGGGCCTGGCCCAGGCCCCTGCTGGTGGAGGCAAGCTGGCCCCAAACTGCCTGGCATTAACGCGGTAGGAGGGGCGAGGGCCGGCGGGTTCTGCCATCCCAGTGAAATCCTCCTCGTGAGTTTTCAAGACGGATTGATTGATTTCAAATGCAGAGTGAAGAGACACCTTCCATGGCTGGTTCATCCCCCATACCTGTAACAGCTGGAGCTGGGCTAGGCTGAGGCCAAGAACTCCACCTGTGTCCCAGAGGACAGGGGCCAGGAGCTGGCCTGGAAGCGCACCAGCTCCCTCCTGTATGGCATGCGGATGTCCCTGTGCTGACACTGGCCCCACCCCTCTGTTCTTCAAAGCGTCCACATGCGCACCTCACAATTACAGGGCTCGGGAACAGGGACACATACTGACCAGTGCTTAGGACACACTCGGGTGGGCAGGCGGCATGCCAGTGAAGACGCCGTCCCAGCTCCCTGCTGATGCCCCTGCCACCCCGCGGGAGACCCAAACTGAGCTCTGGGCTCCTGGCTTCACCTGGCCCAGCCCTGGCACTTGCAGCCACGTGGGGAGTGAACCGGCAAATGGAAGATCTCTCTCTCTCTCTCTCTCTCTCATCTCTCCCTCTTTCTCTGTAACTCTGCCTTTCAAACAAATAACTCTCACAAAACAAAACCGCCCAGCACCGAGGGCACAGGCCCGGCCACAGTCAACGCTGACCTCCCGGCCCCTGGACCACAGCCCTGGCCATGACGCTGCTGACCCTCGGGGCTGGGCCATATCCGTTCTGTCATCACGGCCTGGACAGCAGCCTCCCCGGCCCCCTCTCAGCTGCCAGCTGCACCCCCAAGTTTTAAACCTGCAGAACTGAGGCAGAACTGACCCAGCAGGACAGGTGCAGTGCTGACTTACAGGAAGCCTGGAAGCAGCGAGACCCATCACAGGGAGACGCAGGGAGACGCAGGGAGACCCCACTCCCAGCAGTGAGACCATCACAGGGAGACGCAGGGAGACACAGGGAGACACCGGCCCCCAGCAGTGAGACCCATCACAGGGAGACACAGGGAGACACCGGCCCCCAGCAGTGAGACCATCACAGGGAGACGCAGGGAGACCCCACTCCCAGCAGTGAGACCATCACAGGGAGACGCAGGGAGACACCACTCCCAGCAGTGAGCTCCCGCATCGCAGGAGAGCCGTGGGAGGAGACGCAGGGAGACCCCACTCCCAGCAGTGAGACCATCACAGGGAGACGCAGGGAGACCCCACTCCCAGCAGGGAGCTCCCGCATCGCAGGAGAGCCGTGGGAGGAGACGCAGGGAGACCCAGCTGCTGAGCACACCACACACATGGACTGGTACTAAAAGCCCAGCTCCTCTCACACGGCCGTGCTTCCAGGGCGCGACAGGTGCCTGTGGCTCCCGCACAGGACCAGGCAGAGAACACGTCCCTCATTCCAGTTCTAGGGATGGGCCCACTGCAGAGACCGTGGGGGGGGGGGGGCGCACCTGGCTCTTCTTCTCCTTCTGCTCCAGGACCCTCTGCAGGGCCTTCCGCTCCTTCCTGCTCAGGGGCTTCCTCTCCTTCCGCGGGGGCGGGGCTCTGGTCTTCTTCTTCTTCCTCCCGGGCAGGACAAGCGCGTTGCTAGCATCCACGCCTTTCAACGTGTCCTTGTCTGCAAAGACATCACCACCTCGTGCACAGCCCGGGATGTCTGGGGCCATCCTCCCGCGGGGCGCTCTGCCCCCAACCGACCCCACCCCAGGACGGGCCCAGAGAGCCCCGGGAACGGAGGGCTGAAGGACTTTCCTAAGAACACAGGATGCTCTCGTCAAGGGTGTGTGGGGGGAGGGCTTTCAGGGCAGCGGTTAAGGTGCCACTGGAGGTGCCTGGGTTCAAGTCCAAGCAGCTTCTGGGAGGCGGCAGGCGATGGCTCAAGTACTTGAGTCCCTGCCACTCACATGGGAGCCCAGACTGAATTCCTGGCTCTTGGCTTCAGATGCTGTGCACATACGGGGAGTGAACCAGTGGACAGGAAATCTGTCTCCCTGCCTCTCAATATAAATAAATACATAAGAATTTTTAAAAATTTAAAAGAGAGTATACAGAATGGAGTTTGAGTCTTTTTTTATTTATTTGACAGGCAGAATTAGACAGTGAGAGAGAGACAGAAAAAAAGGTCTTCCTTCCGTTGGTTCACCCCTCAAGTGGCTGCCACAGCTGGAGCTATGCCAATCCCAAGCCAGGAGCCAGGTGCTTTCTCCTGGTCTCCCATGTGAGTGCAGGCGCCCAAGCACTTGGGCCATCCTCCACTGCCTTCCTGGGCCTCAGCAGAGCTGGACTAGAAGAGGAGCAACCGGGACTAGAACCCAGCGCCCATATGGGATGCCAGAGCCGCAGGCAGAGGATTAACCAAGTGAGCCATGGCGCCAGCCCTGAGCCTTTTTTTTTTTTTTTTTTAAAGATTTATTTGAAAGGCAGAGAGAAAGACATTAGCAGGGAGCTGGACTGGAAATTGAACAGCCAGGACTTAAATCGGCGCTCCAACGCTGGCATCACAAGCGACGGTGTAACCTGCTGTGCCACAACGCTGGCCACCAGGCTCGCCAATTCCAAACACAGCAGTCTGCAAGCCCATAATCTGCGCCATTTGAGAGAAATCCACTTCTAGTGCTCTCCTTGGGAGTGCCTCTTTCTGGCTTATATCAGACGCCGGGTTCCTGTACGGGCAGTGCCTGATCCTTTGTCCCCTCTCAGGAGGCTCGTGACTCTAATTAAGAACGTTCGAGCTGTACTAGCTATACCCGTGCTGCAGTTCTCAAGCAGACAGGCAAAACCCCCACAATCCACAAACCAAAGCCAGGCCCGCACACAGAGGCGCTTTCTTGCGTTTCCAAACTGTCTCCACTTTAATTTCTATTACGGCCAATACCGGTTGGGGTGCTCGACTTTTAACCACCCTGCGAGACCAAAAAATCCCAGAACCCCAGTGTTGCAGAAACCATGGATGAACACCGGTGAATCGCGGGGAGTGGGTGGGGTTGGACGGGTCAGGAAGGTTCTCCCCAGGCCCCTCCACTCCGGGAAGACAGGGACACATGGAGACCCCACTCCCCAAGCCTCCGGGTCCAGGAGACCCCACTCCCCAAGCCTCCGGGTCCAGGAGAGCTCGCGCCTCTGCGGCAGTTCCGACGCCAGCCGGACGGAGGTCTGTGGCCCTGAGAGGGGCCGACTGCGCTGTCACAGGGCGGCAGGCCTCGGGAGCCCTGACCTGCCGCCGCGGCTTCCTTTCAGTCCCCCACACACTTCCCTGCGTACATCTGCGCCGACAGCAGGCAGGACGGCCAGTGGTTCCACTTTACAGAGGGAACACTGAGGCACAAGACATTGGTGACCTGCCCCAAGTCCGGCCAACCCACGCAGCTTCTGAGGAGGTCCAGACTCTCCCTGTGGCCAATGCCCCCCTGTGTTGGGCCCAGGGGTCCTCCTGTCCCGCCCTCCCAGGTGCCCTCAGCGAGCCAACCCCAGCTTCCCAGCTTCGGGCTGAAAACAAACACTGCGTCTACACAGCCGGCTCCGAAACACGCATCTCCACCTGCACTTGCGGGCAACAGCCGCCCACCGGCCCCGCTCGCGCCCCGGAGGCCCCGTCCTCTGTCTCTGCAGCTGTGGCCTCCAGCGACACGTTCTCCCTGGGGGCGCCCCAGGAGCTCCGGCCCAGACCCCTCCTCGGCGCCACGGCTGCAGCCGCTCGTCCACACCGCGTCCCGGGGGCTGTGCCTGGCTGCCCTCGCCCGTCTCCTCCCGCAGGTGCGGCGGGCAGGCTGCCTCCAGGGCCCAGGACCCTCAGCCCGGAGCCGGGCACACCGTCCGCGCCGGGAACACCACGCCAGGGGCCGTGGAAATGCACGGAACCGCCCCCATCTTCTGGCTACGTTCTCCGCCTGCCACAGAAGAAGCGCCGGGTGCTGTCCACCCCAAAAAGCCCCCGGCAGCCCGACAGCCCGGCCCGGCCCCGCCCCGCCCCGGGAGCCTCACCCTCCAGTTCCAGCCGCACGGGAGGCGGCTCGGGGGCGCTCTTCGAGGGGCCGGGGGCCGCCTGCTGCCGCCCCTTGACGTTATACCGCCGGCGCAGCTTCCCCATCGCGCCTCCGGCCGGACTGCCTCTGCGGACCGCGACCCCAAGCCCGCTACACGTGGGTTCCCCGGCCACCGGCTCCAGACGTGTGACTTCCGAGTTGTGCTCTCGCGATAGCTGCAACTCACCGGGCCGCTGAGAGGTGGGGCTGCAGCGAGACCACGCGGAAAGGCGGGGCCAGGCCAGGGCGGGGGCGCGGCCAGGCGAGGTGGGCGGGGCCAGGCCATGGGCGGGGCTGCAGCGAGAACATGCGGAAAGGCGGGGCCGTGTGGGTGGGCGGGGCCTGCGGGGAGGGCGGGGACAGCCGGGGCTGGGCGGGGCACACTGGAGGCGGGGGCGAGGCGCTGAGGTCCCCGAGGACAGGAGGGCTTGAGTCCGGAGCTGTTCTCCCGCGGTGGGTCCTGAGACTAGATCGGAGTGATCCGCTAATACTGTGCTATGTTGGCCCCAGCGAGTGCTGTCAGTTCCGCCCCTAGGAGGAACTTCCCCCGCTCTCCTCTGCGCGTCCATGCTTTGTGATGCTCCTACAAGGAACCTGTTCACTCCAGTCCTCTTCGGAGAACCGGGGCAGACTGCAAGAAGCCCCTATTCCACCGCCTTCAACTCGCCCCTGCGCACGCGAACACCGGCTCCTCTGGACCGCGGCGTCATCCTGGGGACAGGAGTCACCCTGGGCCACTGTTCTCCGTTCAAAACATTAATTCATTCGGAGAAAACACTTAGATTACACTATAGACACCGAGAAATTGTATCACAGAGACGCTAGCAGTTATTTTAACCTTTTAGAAAGGACGGGAAGAGAAGAGAATGTCTACCCCGAGTGTGTTCTCTGCTAATACCACATTAACATGGAAAAAGGAAGAACCAGATGGTAAAAACATTTTTAGGAAAGATAAAGTTACTTTAAAACCGGCCCCATGAAAACCGTGGAGAACCTAGAAGGAATGCATAATGAGGGGCTGGCTTGTGGCACAGCAGGTGAGGCAGATTGGTGTCCCGGCTGCCCCACTTCCAATCCAGCTCCCTGCTGATGTGCTGGGAAAGCCTGGGGGCTGTGTAAGTGCTTGGGCCCCTGCACCCGCGTGGGAGACCCAAGCAGTTCCAGCCTTCTGGCTTCCACCCGGCTCAGTCTTGACCATTGCAGCCATGTGGGGAGTGAACCAGTGTAGGAAGATTCTCTCTCTCTCTTTCCTCCCCTCTCTCTAACTCTGCCATTCAAATTAATAAATCTTAAAAAAAAAAGTGTGATTGAATTTAGATAAGTTCTCCTTCCCATGCAAAAAAATCCCAAATCAAAACCAAAACAAACTTTCAGGTGTTGCATGTCAGAATTTACATACTACACATATGAGCATTTTAAGGAAGTATATGTATATATATACATATTTTTTTTTTTGACAGGCAGAGTCGATAGTGAGAGAGAGAGACAGAGAGAAAGGTCTTCCTTTGCCGTTGGTTCACCCTCCAATGGCCGCCACAGCTGGTGCGCTGCAGCCGGCACACCGCGCTGATCCGAAGGCAGGAGCCAGGTGCTTCTCCTGGTCTCCCATGGGATGCAGGGCCCAAGCACTTGGGCCATCCTCCACTGCCTTCCCGGGCCACAGCAGAGAGCTGGCCTGGAAGAGGGGCAACCAGGACAGAATCCGGCGCCCCGACCGGGACTAGAACCCCGTGTGCCAGCGCTGCAAGGTGGAGGATTAGCCTATTGAGCTGCAGTGCTGGCCAGAAGTATATATTTTTAGAAGATATTCATTTTAATGGATTTTTAAGAGGTATAATTAGCATATCAAACCTGTATTTTCAGGGCTGGCGCTCTGGCACAGCAGGTTAAAGCTATGGGCTACAGTGCCGGCATCCCATTTGGGTGCCAGTTCAAGTCCCGGCTGCTTCACTTAGGATCCAGCTCCCTGCTAATGCACCTGGGAAAGCAGCAGAGGATGGCCCCAGTCCTTTAGGCCCCTGCACCTGTGTGGGAGACCTGGAAGAAGCTCCTGGCTCCTGACTCTGGCCGTTGCAGTCATTTGAGGAGTGAACCAGCAGATGGAAGACCTCGCTTTCTCTCTGCCTGACTTTACCTCTATTTGTAACTATGTCAAGTAAATAAAAAATAAATCTTAAAAAAAAACCTGTATTTTCATAGAATGTGTTGCTTATTATAATAGTGATCCTCTGTAAATTTGTTTAAATAAATGAGAAGTGTTCTATATATTTGTAAGATTCAATGTTTAGTTTTCTAAATTAGCTAATTTATTTGAGAGACACAAGAGAGAGAAAGCTCCCCAAATGCCCACAATGGCCACTAAGGGGCCAAAGCCTGGAGCTGGGAACTCCATCCAGGTCTCTCAGGTGGGTGTCAAGGACCCAACTACTTGAGCCGCCCCCTGCTGCCTCCCAGGAATGTTGGAACTAGGGGCAAGACACTGAAGCTAGGCATTCCAATATGGGAGGGAGCGTCTTAGCCGCCAGGCCAAACACCCACCCTTCAAAGTTGTAAAACGTAGGAAGCTGGGAGTGGTCTTCTGACGTGGCCATTAAGATGCCTGCGTCCCCCTGATGGGAGTAGCTGGGTTCGAACCTTTTCCCGTTCCAGCTTCCTGCTAGTAAAGACCTTGACCCAGGGTGCCAGTTATTGTGAGCTCATTTGTGAACTCCTGGAGAGCTGCCGCACGATTTTTTGTATTTTCTGTAGGTTCTACCACCTCAAAATTCACTGAAGACAAACACCACCAAAAAAATTAGTCCCACGATGCGAACATGCAGTTCACAGAGGAGTACACCCAGTGGCCAGGGGACCTGTGCAAACCTGATGGGGAATCCAGGGGTTGCAAATTTAAAGACAAAATAGTTCACTCTTTGGGTTAGCAAAAATTAGTTTTATTTTTCTGGTTGTCTCATGACTCAGGATGTCTAGGGAAGGGAAAGTTTCTACCCTGTAAAGGTTTGATAATTGAGTCTATGAAATAAACGGACAGGAGACAAACTCAGAAGAACCATTCTAACTGCACGGAAACAAACATCCAGGAGCCGGCAAAACACGGTACCCAAGAGTGTGAGGCAAGAGAGGGCGCGGCGGCACTGGCAGCGAATCCCACACGGCTCACGCCACTGGGCTCGCGTTTTAGAAGATGCTCAGGAAAACCTAACACTGAACTCAGCGGGGACCGGAGCACCAGGACTCGGACCCAGTCTGAGTCAGATTCAAAATAAATAAATAAATAAATAATTATAGGGGCCGGTGCTGCGGTGCAGCGGGTTACAGCCCTGGCCCGAAGCACCGGCATCCCATGTGGGCGCCAGTTCGAGTCCCGGCTGCTCCTCTTCCAACCCAGCTCTCTGCTATGTCCTGGGAGAGCAGTGGGGAATGGTCCAAGTGCTGCACCTGGCCCCTGCACCCGCGTGGGAGGCCCAGAGGAGGCTCCCGGCTTTAGATGGCGCAGCTCCGGCCGTTGTGGCCATCTGGAGTGAACCAGCGGATGGAAGACCTCTCGCTCGCTCCTCTCTCTGTAACTCTGCCTTTCGAATAAATAAACCTGAAGTGATTAATAATAATAATAATAAAAAGCCCTTTACTGTCACCGGTGAACGAAGCAGCTCCCACTCGAGGCTGATTATCTGCTGACACCGGAAGCAAATGGATCCCTCGTGTCCACTAGCAACAGGAGAGGCCGGACTCAAGTTTCACAGCACGGGGGCATCGGGGCTGGCCACGGCCAGAGTGGACACACACACAGACACAGACACACAGCAGAGGAGCGCCTGCGCTCAAGATCCGTTCCCCGAAGGCGGAGGAACAGGCGCCGGCCATGGGGACGCCCGCGGAGGGCCCCTCGGGCCGCGCTGTCCCTCCAGGGCTCTGGGTGGGGGCCTCCCGGGCCCCTCAGAGGCCAGCCAGGTCCTGGCGCTGCCCGAAGTGACCACGACTCGGTCACACCCGGCGGCCTCGCTGGCCCCCGCACCCGCTCGGGTTCTAATCCCCGGGAAGACCCTCCCGTCCCAGCGGCTCCGGACCTCCGTCGGCTCGGGAAGGGCGCGTCTGGGGGCAGTGCTGTGCCCCCTCGCCCCATTCCGCCCTGCTGAGCCGGCTCCGAGTTCTGCAGGCGCGGGGCGCTCTCCGCAGCGAACCCAGTCTCCCCGGCCGCCAGACGCCCCCCGGCCCCGGGGCGGCTTCCGGGAGGGTGGGGGCGGGGCGCGGCGTGGGCAGGGCCGGCGCCCGTGGGGGCGGGGCGCGGCGTGGGCAGGGCCGGCGCCCGTGCGCGCGGGGCGGGGCGGGCGGGAGGCGCGGCGGCGGCGGCCGGAGGAGCGACGCGCGGCCCCCGAGCGCGCCCACGCCGTCCCCGCACGCGGTCCTCGACCCGCTCGGCGACCCCGCAGCCGACCCCGCGGCCGAGCATGGGCGCGCGCTCCTCGGCCGGGCCCCGCGCCCGGGCCGGGCTCCTGCCGCCGCTGCTGCTGCTGCTGCTGCTGCTCGGGCCGCTGGCGCAGGGGGCGCGGGGCCGCGGCGGCGCCGAGAAGAACAGCTACCGCCGCACGGTCAACACCTTCTCGCAGAGCGTCGGCAGCCTGTTCGGCGAGGACAACGTGCGCGCCGCGCAGAAGGTGGGCGCTGGGCCCGCGCCCGCGGTCACCTTGCGGGGCCGCCCCGCACCTGGCGCCCGGTGGTGGTGGCGGTGGGGGGTGGGGGGTGGGGGTGCCCGGGGCCGGCCTGGGTCGCGCGCGGCCTCCGGAGCCGGCGGTCCGGCGGGGCGAGGGGCCCAGGCCTGCCGACCGGGGCCGGGTCGCAGGGCCGCGGGGTGGCCTCTCCCGGCGCCCGGCTTCTCCTTGGACTTTGGCCCGGAGGGCGGCGCTGACGCCGGCCGCGCTGCGTTTCATTCATTCGCGGCGTTGAATGGGCCCCACTGTGAGCCAGGCGCCGGCCGCGCGCCCCGGCCTCCCGGCGTCTTCCGGCCTCGCGCGCGCCCCGGCGACCCTCGTGGCGGGGCCGCTCGAGCGCCTTCCGGGCGCGGGGCTTCCACCTGCAGCCGCGCTTGCTTTGAGGCTGCGCGGGAGCCCGCGCGCTCTCCCCGCTGCCGCCCCTGCGCGGAGAAAGGGGAAGTCGGGGGCCAGGGGGGCGGTGCGTGCCCGCGCCCTGCTCCCCGCTACTGCTTCGCTGGCAGTTGGCCCTGGGGTCTTGAAGTGGAGAGAAGTTTGGGCTGGGGTCTCTGCCCCCTGGAAAGCCGGTGGCGCCAGGCCAGTGGCTTCGCTTCTTCGAGCTCCGTGTCTTTATCTGGTGAACGGCTCCGTTATGAGGTTGCAGTTGGAGGAGTTGGTACCTTCCTGGCTCACTGTGGCAGCCAGTTAGTGCCAGCTGTTGGCTCAGGCCAGGGTGCAAATCCACGAGGCACGGCCTTGCTGGAGAACTCTGCAGGGTTAAAGTTTTCTCATCCTTGAGATGGAGCGGCGGGGGTGGGGAGCCCACTGACACCCAGGGCAGGGCAGGGGTGGGGTGGGGAACCCACTAACACCCAGGGCAGGGCAGGGGTGGGTTGGGGAGCCCTCTAACACCCGGGGCAGGGCAGGCGTTTGGCCAAGTGGGTAGCACACGCGCTGGAGCGCCCGGGTCCCTTACCCAGCTCTGCTCCACGCCGGCTTCCTGGCACGGCAGACCCCGGGAGGCAGCCATGGTGGCCCAAGTGGTTGGGTCCCTGCTGCCCACCCCAGAGACCTGGACTGGATTCGCAAGTCCAGGCCCAGCCCCCACTGTTTAAGGCATTTGGAGGACTGAATCAGGGTGAGATCTCTCTGTCTCTGCCTGTCAAAAACTAATTTTAAAAATGTTTAACATTTTTTAATTAAACAGTTTATTCAGTTTTTAAAATTTCTGTGTGAAAGAACATTTCCGTGTGCCTGCAGCAGTCAGCCGCTGGGCCAGGCCGGAGCTGGGCCCGCTCACCCACTGGCCGCCCGCTGCTGCCTTCCCAGGTGCATTAGCCGGAGCTGGCTGGGGAGCGTGAGTATCCCTGACTTGAACTAGCACTCCAGTGTGGGATGTGGGGCCTTAACCTGCTGGACCGCGATTGGTTGTTTGAAAAGCAGATCAGATTGGCTGATGTTCCGAGTGGCTGCCGGGAAAAGCAGGTGAATCGGTCAGCAATGCTGAGCTCTGACCGACCTGCCCCGGGTGTGTCTCCCACCTAGGAAGCGGTGCAAGGCCAGAGGAGAGAGCTGTTTGTCCTTAGCCGGGGCGGGAAGGAGAGAGACCCAACACAGAACACCCTGGTGCCAGAAGGTTGCCCTGGGTCTCTCTGACTTCACGCTGCCTTGCCTGGCCTGTTTAAAGGCGGAAATCTTTGCTTTATTTTTTAAAAGATATATTTATTTATCTGAAAGAGAGAGAGAGAAGGGGAGGCAGAGAGAGAGGTCTTCCATCCACTGGTTCACTCTCCAGTTGGCCACAACGGCCGGACCTGTGCCAATCCGAAGCCAGGAGCTTTTTCCGGGTCTCCCACATGGGTACAGGGGCCCAAGGACTTGAGCCATCTTCTACTGCTTTCCCAGACCATTAGCAGAGAGCTGGATCAGAAGTGGAGCAGCCTGGTCCCAAACCGGTGCCCATATGGGATGCAGGCACTGCAGGCGGCAGCTTTAGCTGCTACGCCACAGCACTGGGCCGAAATCTTTTGTTTCAGAACAGAAAGGAGGTCTGCCTTTTTCCTGCAGGGCAAGCACAGGGGCGGGTGTCTCAGCTCACAGCTCCGCGGGAGGGTGTAAGCCACAGACGTGACACGCGCACCGGGTGCTGAAGGACCTTTGTGTGTCCTGGGGTCAGAGCTCTTGCTGATGTGTGGACGGCGCCGACCACTTCTCTCCCTTAGCACGACAGGCAACGGGCCTGCTTCCATTTTACAGATGAGAAGACCGAGGCCACAGCGTGGTGGAGGGGTGGGTTCAGGGGGAATGGCAGTCAGGGAGAGTTTGAACCCAGGCAGGGTGTGCGTGGAGCCAGCGGCTCCACCGATCCTCCAGACGGTAAAGCGTCTGGAACGAGGCCGCCCTGGCTGTATTTCCCGCTGAGTGTGGCTGGGGCAGGCTCCGCGTGGGGGAGACTGGTGTGTTAATTTTAATTGAGGGAAAACTGGGTCTGCCTGGGTTTCCTGATTATAGCCAGCCCTGCTTTGTGGGTTGTGAGGTTTGACGGTGCTTAAAGAGACACCCCGTATTCTAATTAGGACTTGGCTCAAGCCCGGGGCCTCGTGTTCCGAGCATGGGCCTCGCTGACCACTAGAAGTGGGTCTGAATCCAGCTCTGCCGCTCATTGTCTGCGAGCGTGGGCCTGTTGCTCTGCCTCTGCGTCTCACGTGTGCACAGGAGATGAACGGGGGTTCACTGTGCTTGCTGAGTCGTGCAGAACCAGGCACTGTGTAATTAAATATTTATGGACAACAGGAACTGCATTCAGTCGTTCATTTAAAAGTTACCAAGCACCTGGTGCGGGAGCGCTCATAGCACTGCTTGTCCTGGTAGCCAAAAAGTGGAGCCAGCCCAGGTGCCCGGCAGTGGGTGAACGGGCCCGCCACTCAGTGGAGTGCGGTTCAGCCAGGAAAAAGGATTTGTGCTGACACATGGATGAACCTTGCAAAAGTGAACGCAGCCACGGATCGTGTGACTCCATGTGTGTGCCACACCGAGAAGAGGAGAGGCGGCGAGAGCATTTGCTGGGGGCAGGGGGTGCAGTTTGTTCCTGCTTAGCTGATTTGGGGTGATGGTCACCCCACATTGGGAACGCGCACAATGTCACTGCACTGTGTGCTCTGGGGTGGCTGACGTGCAAGTCATGTTATGTGCGTTTCTCCACAATTAAAAACATTAGGCCAGCGCCGCGGCTCACTAGGCTAATCCTCCGCCTTGCGGCACTGGCACACCGGGATCTAGTCCCGGTCGGGGTGCCGGATTCTGTCCCGGTTGCCCCTCTTCCAGGTCAGCTCTCTGCTGTGGCCAGGGAGTGCAGTGGAGGATGGCCCAAGTACTTGGGCCCTGCACCCCATGGGAGACCAGGAGAAGCACCTGGCTCCTGCCATCGGATCAGCGCGGTGCGCCGGCCGCAGCAAGCTGGCCGCGGCGGCCATTGGAGGGTGAACCACCGGCAAAGGAAGACCTTTCTCTCTCTCTCTCTCTCTCTCTCTCTCACTGTCCACTCTGCCTGTCAAAAAAAAAAGGCATTACACCTGCTGTACGTGGCGCTCAAGCTGGACCAGGTGGTCCCTCCCAGGGGGCCTCCATGGTGGGGTCGTGGCAGGTGAACGGGCAGTGATAAGCTGCACATGCGTAAGGTGACATGGTTGTTTGCCTACGGTGAGTGGGCCCGGCACTGTTCTGCGAGAGGTTTGGCTGTTTTCACCTCCGTTTGCAGGTGAGGAGGTCGAGGCATAGAAAGATTGAATCTCTTGCCCACGGTTCTGCCGATGAGCGGTGGGGAGCCGGCAATGTGTGTCCTTGGAGCCTTTGCAGACCTGAGAGTAGCTGGGAGAGCGGAGTCCAGCGAGTGACCCAGGCAGGGGCTGGGGAGAGCACACTGGGCAGATGGAGCAGTCAGAGCAGAGGCCCCGGGGTGGGGATTGGCCTGGCCTGGGCCGGGTGTGCGGGGGAAGAGGCGGTCGGGTCACTCAGGACTTACGGTTTGGCACACCCGACGTGCTGATAATGCCAGAGCTAAGAAGACAGGACAGGGGAGGACAGGGATGCAGGGGCCTGGGCGTGGAGGAAGTCACAGGACAGTGGGGCAAGGTTCACAGGGGGTGGCATTTGCCGTTGGGCCCATGGGCTGGGGACTTCCTGAACGGCGCGCTGAGAAACTGGGGCTTCTTCCTCCTTGCTCACAGTTGCTTGGAAAATGATTTCGAATAGATGAGAAGGGCGGCTGTCAGTCTGGCCGTCGCTAACCGCCACCCCCAGCAGCAAAAACATGCACACGGGTCCTGCTACCCTGTGTTTTTTTTTTTTTTTTTTTTTTTTTTTGAAGGCAGAGTGGACAGTGAGAGAGAGAGACAGAGAGAAAGGTCTTCCTGGTCTTCCTTTTTCCGTTGGTTCACCCTCCAATGGCCGCTGTGGTTGGCCAGGTGCTTCTCCTGGTCTCCCATGCGGGTGCAGGACCCAAGCACTTGGGCCATCCTCCACTGCACTCCTGGGTCACAGCAGAGAGCTGGCCTGGAAGAGGAGCAGCCGGGACTAGAACCCGGTGTGCCGGCGCCGCAGGCGGAGGATTAGCCTAGTGAGCCGTGGCACCCCTCCCCCCTTTTGGGTTTTTGTTTATTTTGTGCCTCCTTAGCTCTTGGGACGGCACGGAGCTTGGCTCCGTTCTTTCTCCAAGGCTACCAAGACCAGGTGGCTGTGAGGGGGCACGGCAGTTGGTTCCACCCCTGACGTTGACCTTTGGCCTGTCTTTGCCAGTGCTCAGGGGACCACAGTGGAGGTCTTTCTGTAGACATTGTGCTGCGTGCACATGGACAGTTTCATCTGTAAATTGGTAAGAATGGAGCTGCTGAGTCAAAGCCTCTGTACATATTAATTTTTTTTAAATGAGACTGTTTATGTGAAAGGCAGAGAGAAGATCGTCCTCCTGC